ACACAGCCATACTCATTCATTTACATATTGTTTGTGGCTGCCTTCACACTACAATGGCAGTGTTGGGTAGTTGCAACAAAAACTATATTAACCCCCAAATTTAAAATATTTACTATCTGGCCTTTTACAGAAAAAGTTTGCTGACCCCTGCCTTGGAAAATAGGTCCTTGGAACACAAAGCAATGTTAGAGATCAATACCACATACAGAGACAAATGTTTAGAAATTAATAATCTCTCTTCTAAATAATTCAAGGATCAAAGAAGAAAGTCTAAATGGGATGCACAGAATATATTAATGTCTAACATTGAAATGTGCATGTCAAAAGATGGGAACTCAGAGAAATTTTAGCCTTAAAATGTTAATGTTAGAATGTAAGAAAGGTTGAAAATTAATGTGCCACACATTCAACTCAAGAAGCTCAAAAAGGATGGCCAATTGATTTGTTATGAGAGTGCTGAGACACTTCCACAGGAGAAAAACTAGTCTTCTCAACAAATGGTGCTATAACAACTGGATATCTACATGCAAAAGAATGAAATTGGTCCCCTACCTCACACCATATATAAAAATTACCTCAAAAATAATCAGAGACCTAAATATAAGAGCTAAAACTATAGAACTCTAGACAAAAAGTTTTGTGAGGTTGGATTAGGCTATAATTTCTTAGATACAACACAAAAAGCACAAGCAACAAAAGAAAAAATGGATAAATTGGGCTTCGCCAAAATTAAAAACTTTTGTGCTTCAAAGGACACTGTCATAAAAATGAGAAAACAAGCTACAGCATAGGAGAAAATATTTGCAAATCATATATCAGATAAGGGTCTGGTCTCCAAAACGTAAAAGAATAACACAACAATAAAAAGATATGTAAATCAATTAAGAAATGGACAAAGGATTTGAATGGGCATTTCTCCAAAGAAGATACAAATGACTAAGTGCATGAAGAGATGTTAGCATAATTAATCATTAGGGAAATGCAAATCAAAACCACGATGATAGGCCACTTGGCACCCATTTGGATGGCTATAATCAAAAAGATTGACAATAACAAGTGTTGATGAGGATATGGAGACACTGGACCCTGACGCATTGCTATTGAAAACAAAATGGTGCAGCAGCTTTGGAAAACAGTCTGGTACAGGCACATGCTTCATTTTATTGCACCTTGCAGGTACTGCAAGTCTGTCAGCGCCATTTTTCCAACAGCATTTGCTGTTGGACTTAGTGTCTCTGTGTCACATTTTGGTAATTCCCATAATATTTCAAACTTTTTCATTATTATTGTATTTGTTATGGTGATCTGTGATCAGTGAACTTTGATGTTACTATTGTAATTTGGGGGTGGGGGTGCATCACAAACTGTGCCCATAGAAGACAACAAACTTAGTTGGTAAATATTGTCTGTGTTCTGACCGCTTCACTGACCAGCCATTCCCCAGTCTCTCCCTCTCCTCAGGCCTCTCTCTTCCCTGAGACACAACAATATTGAAATTAGGCCAATCAATAACCCTACACTGGCCTCTATGTGTTCAAGTGGAAGGAAGAGTTGCACACCTCTCACTTTAATAAAGCTGGAAATGACTAAGTTTAGTGAGGAGGGCATGTTGAAAGCTGAGGTAGACTGAAAACTAGGCTTTTTGAGCCAGTCAGCCAAGTTGTGAATGCAAAGGAAAAGTTCTTGAAGGAATTTAAAAGTGCTACTCCAGTGAACACACAAATGATAAGAAAGCAAAACGGCCTTATTGCTGATATGGAGAAAGTTTTAGTGGTCTGGATAGAAGATCAAGCCAGCCACAACATTCCCTTAAGCCAAAGCCTAATCCAGAGGAAGGCCCTAACTCTCTTCAATTCTGTGAAGGCTGAGAGAGGTGAGGAAGCTGCAGAAGAAAAGTTTGAAAATAACCGAGGTTGGTTAATGAAGCTTAAGGAAAGAAGCCGTCTCCGTAACATAAAAGTGCAAGGGGAAGCAGCAAGTGCTGATGTAGAAGCTGCAGCAAGTTATCCAGAAGATCTAGCTAAGATAATTAATGAAGGTGGCTACACTGAACAACAGACTTTCAGTGTAGATGAAACTGCCTTATATTGGAAGAAGATGCCATCTAGGCCTTTCATAGCTAGAGAGGAGAAGTCAATGCCTGGCTTCAAAGCTTCAAAGGACAGGCTGACTCTCTTGTTAGGGGCTAATGCAGCTGGTGACTTTAGGTTGAAGCCAATGTTCATTTACCATTCTGAAAATCCTAGGGCTGTTGTGAATTATGCTAAATCGACTCTGCCCGTGCTCTATAAATGGATCAATGAAGCCTAGATGACAGCACATCTGTTTACAACATGGTTTACTGAGTATTTTAAGCCCACTGTTGAGACCTACTTCTCAGAAAAAAAAGGTTCCTTCCAAAATATTACTGCTAGTTGACAATACACCTGGTCAACCAAGAGCTCTGATGGAGATGTACAACGAGATTAATGTTTTCATGCCTGTTAATACAACATCCATTCTACAGCCCATGGATCAAGGAGTAATTTCGACTTTCAAGTCTCGTTATTTAAGAAATACATTTCATAAGGCCATAGCTGCCACAGATAGTGATTCCTCTGATGGCTCTGGGCAGAGTAAATTGAAAATCTTCTGGAAGGGATTCAGCATTCTAGATGACATTAAGAACATTTGTAATTCATGGGAAGAGGTCAAAATATCAACATTACCAGGAGTTTGAAAGAAATCAATTGCAACCCTCATAGTTGACTTTGAGGGTCTCAAGACTTCGGTGGAGGAAGTAACTTACAGATGTGGTAGAAATAGCAAGAGAACTGGAATTAGAAGTGGAGCTGGATAATGTGACTGAATGACTGCAATCTCATGATAAAACTTTAACAGATGAGAAGTTGCTTCTTATGGATGAGCAAAGAGAGTAGTTTCTTGAGATGGAATCTACTCCTGGTGAAGATGCCGTGAAGATTGTTGAAATGACAACAAAGGGTTTGGAACACTAAATAAACTTAGTTGATAAAGCAGCAACAGAGTTTGAGAGGACTGACTTTGAAAGAAGTTCTACTGTGCATAAAATGCTATCAAACAGTATCATATGCTACAGAGAAATCGTTTGTGAAAGGAAGAGTCAATCTATGTGGCAAACTTCATTGCTGTCTTATTTTAAGAAATTGCCACAGCCACCCCAGTCTTCAGCAACCACCACTCTGATCAGTCAGCAGCCATAACGTTGAGGCTGTTCCCTTCACCAGCAAAAATATTATGACTTGCTAAAGGCTCAGATGAGGGTTGGCATTTTTAGCAATAAAATATTTTTTGGATAAGGTATGTACTCTGTTTTTTTAATGCATAATGCTATTACACGCTTATAGACTACAGTATAGTGTAAACATAACTTTTATATGCACTGAGAAGCCAAAAAATTCATGTGACTTGCTTTATTGCAATATTCAATTTATTGCAGTGGTCTGGAACTGAACCAACAACATCTTCGAAGTATGTCTGTGGTTCTTCAAAAGGTTAAACACGGAGTTACAATATGACCCAACAATTCCACTCTTTGGTATATACCCAAGCAAACTGAAAACATATGCCCACACAAAAATGCGTACATTGATGTTCATAACAGCATTATTCACAATAGCCAAAAAGTGGAAACAACCCAAATGTCCATCAACTGAGGAATGGATAAACAAAATGTGGTATATCCATGCAGTGGACTATCATTCAGCCACAAAATGTAATGAAGTACTGATTAATGCTGCAACATGGATAAACCTTGAAAAAATGCTAAATGAAAAAAGCCAGACACAAAAGGCCACGTGTTACATGATTCCCTTTATATGAAATGTCCAGGATAGGCAAATCCATAGAAACAGAAAGTAGAATACTAGTTGCCAAGGACTGGGAGGAAGGAGAAATGGGCGGCGACTCCTCACGGACACAGGATTTCTTTTTTGGGGTGATGAAAATGTGCAATTCTATCATAGTGTTGGTTGCACAACTGTGTGAATATACTAAGACCCACTAAATTGTACACTTTAAAAGGGCGATGATTACAGTGTGTGAATTACATCTCAATTTTTTTAAAAGAAAGAAAAGAAGCTAGAAAGGAAACAGCATAAAATAAAGGAAAATAGAGGGAAGTAGTAAAATTGGTGAAATAATGAAAAATGAAAAGAATCAACAAAACAAAAAGCTGATTTTTAGGGAAAAAATATAAAAACTAAAGAGAAAATGATCCAAATGAAGACAATGAGGGATTTTAAGCAAGTGGACTCAAAACAAAACGTTAAATTGTCTGAATGGTGAGTAAAATGAATGTGGATTCAATTATTTGGTTGCAGCCCACCTGTCTATCTCTGCTATTTCCAGGGGCCATACCTGGACACAGAACCTTAAGGAGACCCTCCACTGCTTTCCCACGTTCCTTTCTTAAAGGTCCAGATGTGCCGAGAGACTGGGAAGAGCTGGAGGATTTTATGAGGCTCTGCTTTCTCCAGGGGTTTACCTTACAAAGAGTTTGTTTTCCTAGCATCACAGACTGCTTCACTTTATCTGTCCTACTGACCAAATTATTTTCAAAATTTGCAACATTGACAATGTTTGGTCAAGGCAGGGGATGGACTCACTTTGTTCCCTCAAATGTTCGAGGCTCTGAGAAGAGAGCACACCCCATCTCGGCTTCATTGTAAAGGACTGTGAATTGTCTAGGCCCTCTCGATTCTGTGGCCCTCAGGCTGCCCTTGAGCCCCTTGGGGCCTCGTTCAAGGCCTCCGACAAGCCAGGCCCACTCCCATCATATACCCGGTACACTTACTACAGTTGCTCTTGCCCCAACTGGAAAACTATCATCCAGGGGTTCAAAACCCTGAACAGACCAAATAGCCCCTTTAGAATATGTGTTTTTAACACCCCCTTTTGTGGATTCGTGGATAATACAATCTGAACTGTAGCTCACAGGAGCAATTAAAGGCAAAGTAAATGGCAGTATGACTCTCTTGCAGATGGCAAGGGGAATGTCATGCTTCCGCAGAGCCCTGGGACCTCGAGTGCCAGAGCTGAGACCTTCTCTCCCCGGGTTCGAAGAGCTACAACCTCAAGGACAGAGAGGATATGGCCTGGAGGGGTCATCCCCTACGTCATCGGAGGGAACTTCACTGGTCAGTAGCCCCACATGAGGCCTGCTTTGGGGATGGATGTTTTGTCTCCCTAGGTTAACAGAGTCCTCCCAGGAAGGACTCAGGTGGGATGGAGCAGAAGCTGGGGCCACAGCAGTCCTATCTGCTAATGTTCCCGCATGCCTACAGGGTCTAGTGCACTAGGCCTGGGGAAACTGCAGTATCTTTTGGGGCCAAGTCTTCAAAGGTGGTGACCTGGTCCCCAAGCTTTCATGCAGGGGGTTACATATGACCCTGGTCTTGAAGGATAGACAGAGTTTGCACAGTGGCTGTGTGAGCAAAGCCCTCCAGCCAGAAGGAAGAGTGTGAGTAGCTACACACTGTGGCTCACCAGTCGTCTGCGTGGATGAGCGCTCTGCACCACCCCTCATCCCCAGCAGTACTCTGTACGGTAACCAGTGTGGGCCAGTAGATGTGGTCCAATCCTGGCTGCAGCACTTACCAGCACTACGCCCTGGGGAAGTTACTTAACCTCTCTCTGCCTCAGTTCTCTCTTGTGTAAATGCAGATGATAATATTTTCTACCCCATAGGGTTGTTCTGAGAATTAAATGAGTTAATTTGGATAAAGCACTTAGAATAGTGCCTGGCACATAATAATTAGTAATTGTTTGCTATTGGTATTATTATCTTTAAGATATATGTCATGCAGGGGTTTCCCATCCCACTAATGACACCGAGAGCCCTGACGGTGGCCTCTGACGCCCTCTGTCCGGGCAGCCTTTCTCCTGGCCTTTGACCCGCCTCCTCCTCAGTGCCTGGCACTGGCCTTTCCAGTCAGCTTTCTTTTCTGGAACATGTCACCTCATTGCCCCCTTTGCACACTTGCGCTTGCCCTTCTCTCTGCCTAGACTGCTCTTTCCCCAGATCTTCTCTTGGCTGGCTTCTTCTTCTCATGGGAGTCTCAGATGGAATGTCATGTCCACAGAAAGGCCTTATTCAACTCCCTTCTCGCCCTCCAGCTCTTCTCTCTCCCGGCACCCTGCTTTATAGTCTTTACAGCACTCCCTGTTACCTGAAATTATTTTACCTGTATTTAAAAAAAATTTTTTGTCTCTGCCCAAGCACTGTAGGATCTGTTTTCCCGTCTTGTTTTCATTCCTATATCTCCAACACCTAGAAGTAGGACTCATAGTAGACACTCAACAGTTATGCTCAGCAGGCTTCTGACCAATATTAGTTGAATGCTTGAAAGAATAACCACAAGGAGCTGCCTTTTCTGGGCTCTCAATGCTGACGGCATTTATGAGCCCATCTCCTCTCTGTGGCTCTGTGACTTCTACTATGAGAGCTGGTAGATGAAGCAGACGTTCTAATGACTTGCCAAAGCCACTGAAAACCGCTGATGGGTAAAGGAACTGTGAACACCTTGACAACAGGGACCTGGAACCTGGAAGAGAGCATGGAGGCCTCCAGGCCACCCCCCTTCCTCTCTCTTTTCCTGGCGGCATTCATGCTGTTCGTTCCCTTTCACTCCCTTGGCATTAACCCAGGGCCCCCTAGTACCAGATACTTAATTAGGTGCTGACGATAAAAAGATGCCTAAGACTTCACTCTGCCCTCAAGGGGCTCCCAATCCTAACAGGAGAGAAAGATGTGTGCCTAAAGAATTGATATGTAAAATTATAATCAGCTATTAACTTTTGTTCTTTGGTATCTTAAGTGTTCTTTCAGATCTGGTGTGCTTTTCTGACCAAAGATATTTATAACCTTCATCAAAATTAACTAATTTTATATAAAGAACTTCCTTTACACAGAGATTTTATGTTATTCTGTAATTAGTAGGATTGCTATTTTGGTGAGTGATTGAGCTATAAACAATTTGCACAAAATGTGTCAAGATATCCAAAAAACGGACAGCTAAGTTACTCTTTATTCTGTATGTATGTTTTTGGGGACAACAATATGACACCACACTCACATCTTCTAGACTATGATGGGAGTCTCGCCAGTGGGATTTTTTTGTTTTTTGCAACAAGGTCATTCTAGAACTCAGAGCCCACACCAATCATCCTCTGAATTTCCCAAACAACTATTTTTCCAGTTCCTTCTCGTTGCTTCTAGCAAAATCAAAATAGTCTTCTTTATTTCAGATTGATAGATTTTGAAAAGAATACTTATTGACTATACATAACTATCAGCCTAGAGTTTACAACTTCTTTATTCTTGGTCCCAGACAATTTACTTATTGTTTTATTATTCAACAAATTTCTACTCAAGGGAATATGAAGACAGGTTCAGAGAAGGTGTGAAGTTCATCGTTGTGAAAGGCCTTGTAGAAAATTTTGCTCAAGGTCCCCCAGCAAACACTGACCCCTCATGCAAAAGTAGCATGAATGTATGTGCCAATAGAGTTTTGAGAGAATAAGGGAATACTCTCCTATAGGTATAAAATAAAATAAGGGGGTGGCATGCAGTGCAGGTGAGCTACTTCAAAAACCTGAAATTTCCAAGTTGAATAACCTGGGTAAGATTTTACGAGTTTAGAAAAGTACTTTCAATTCAAAGGAGAAGTTGGGAAACCCAGGATATTTTGAAAATCTATTTTTACCCTCGCTTCCAATTCACAAACTCCTACTTTCTAAGTTTTGGTACCTCAGGAAAGTTATATTGTATTCTTAGCAAAGGAAATCCTTTTTCCTAGTGCATTTCTATTCTGGGTCACCTGAACAGGCTTTTTTTGATCGTTGGGACAAGCTTTGTCATAAGCCAGCATGACTTAAAGCATCTAAGGAAGAAATAGACCCATGAGTGAAGTGATGAGCTCTTTCCTCGTCATTTCAGGAAGCCAGAGGGCCATTTTTAAGCAGGCCATGAGACACTGGGAGAAGCACACCTGTGTGACCTTCATAGAGAGGACCAACGAAGAAAGCTTTATTAAGTTCAGTTACAGAACCTGTGGGTAAGTAAGCAAGAGCAAGGTTGCCTCAGCGGAATCAGAGGCAGACAAATCAGGTGACTTGTGAGTCTTGAATTTTCTCTGTAAAATCACTATTTCCAACGAGCTGTGAGATATAGGAATCCAGAGTTGTCAGAAACATCCCTTGCCCTCAGTGAACTCACAATCCAGTGACAAAGTAGGTGGGTCAAGAGGAGACAAAGGGTCTGGATCTCCTGTCATGGGAGCAGTTGAAGGAATTGGGGTGTTTCATATGGAGAAGTGGTTCTGAATCAATTTGGGGTCAGTGACCCCACTGGGAATCTGATGAAGCTATAGGCTCCCTTGTGATGGATGTACATATATGCAAAATTCTGCGTGTAATTCTGTGGGCTCCATGGGCTTACAGACTTCCTCCAGAAAGCATAACAAATAATAAGACAACTGGATTGTGACTAAACTTATCTGTTATGCCAATAAATGTGAGTGTGGTGTACTCTCCTACTGAAAGAAAAAGGTTGCCATATTGATTCAAAAACTTGGACCCAAGTATGTGCTGTTTACATAAAATGACTACTGAAGAAAATGACCCAGAAAGGTTTAAAAGGAAAGGAAAGAAGGCATACAGGCAAATGCTAACAGAAAGAAAGCGGAGGTCACAATTTTAGTTAGAGACAAGGCCTTTTGTGTTTTGTTTTTAAAGTCAGAAAGTGTTAAAAAAAAAAAAAAAAAAAGGTGAGACACTTTATAATGAGAAAGGGTACAAACTATGGTGAGAATATAACCCTCATAAATCTTTATGCAGCAAATAGCATAGCATTAAGAGTCATAAAACAAGCCCCAGGGAATTCAAGGGGAAATCGACAGAAACACCAGCAGCAGGAGACTTTATTTCATTTCTGTCAACCCAAGTAGATCAATGTCAAATTGACCAAAAAGCAAGTAGAGATTTATAGAGCATGGGAAACATATAATTAACGGAGTTGATCCTAGGGGTCTATCAGATTCTGTAACCTGATGACGCGTCTTTTTTTTTAAAGTGCCTGTAGAACATTTATAGACATTGTCCATCTATTAAGCATTAAGAAGACCTCAATGAATTCTAAAAGGCAGAAATAGCATTAAAATATTCCCTGATTGCAAAGCAATGAAACTGGACATAATAACATAATAACAAAAAATAGAATAAACACCCCTTCATTGCTTGGTAAGTTAAAAGCTCCCCCTTTTTACAACTCTTAGGTCATAAAGAATCAGGATTAAAATTACAAGCTGTCTAGATAATGAAAGCCCTACGGTTCAAAATTAAAGAGCTGTAGTTGAAGCCATGTCCAGAAGAAAACCCACAGCCTCAAATGTCCACATCAAGAATTAAGAATGACAATTAAATATTCAATTCAAAGAAGTTAGCAAAATAAATACATAAAAAACACCACCTCAACAAAAGAAACCCAATGAGAGCGCAAGAAAGTCAACAAGTTAACATAGAACTAATAAATTGAAGAGTGAATTCTTTAAACAAACAAACAAAAAACTATAAATTCCTTACTTGTTAGTCCAACTAAAGCAAAAAAGTGACTGCAGAAATATACAAAATCAGAAATGAGAAAGGAGGAAATAGCCATAGATTCAGCAGAATCATAAAGAGTTTTTGCAAAACTCTAGGGCAAGAAATGTGGAAATCTGGATAATGTGAATGACTTCAAGGTGAGTATAAAGTGCTGGCACACACCAGTAACTTTGAAAGAAATGGAAAAATTGAGGAGAAATCTCTCTCCCCTAAAGCATCCAATCCAGAGTTTCACAGATGAATTCTTTCAAACCTTCAAGAAAGAGATTATTTTGGTACTATTTAAGCTTTTTAGAGGCTAGAGAAAGAAGAACACTTCCTTATAAATTAGTTTTAAGGAACTGTCATGACATTGCTACCCTAAAATGAAAAAGATGGCATCAAAAAAAGAGAGAAGTATAGATTCATCTAACTTATGAATAGCCTTGCAAAATCCTAACTAAAATGTTAGCACATAGAACTCAGCAATACCGGAGTAGAAGAGGTGGCTGCCAAGAAATTTGGTCTAAGGAATACATGACTAGTTCAACAATAGGAAATCTATTTGTGTGACTCACTGTATTGACAGGTCAAAGGAGAGAAGCCATATTCATATCTCAACAGATGCTTAAAAAGCATCTGCACAATTCAACGTGCATTTTTTGTTTTAAAAAATTAGCCAAGAAGGCTGGCCCTGGTGGCCTAGTGGTTAAGTTTGGCACGTTCTGCTTGGCGGCCTGGGTTCCGTTCCTGGGCTTGGACACACGCCACTCATCTGTTAGTGGCCGTGTTTTGGTTGTGGCTCACATACAAAAGGAGGAAGATTGGCAGCAGATGTTAGCTTGGGGCTACTCTTCCTCAGCAAAAACAAACAAACAAAAACTAGCCAGGGTAGCACAGGAATAGATATCAAGGATAGTTCCTTGACTTACAAAAAATAAATGTTGTATATATTTAACCCAAAAGCCCACATCATATTTATCAATGATAATCCTAGAAGCATTTCTGTTAGAATCAGGAACAAGTCAAAGATATTCATGATCACCATAATCATGTCACATTTTTTTGGACATGCTAATATAATTAGACAAAAGAAAGAAATAAACATGACGAATATTGGCAGGAACAAGACAATATTTGTATTGTTTGAAGTTAATGTGATGAGTGCCTAAAAAACCCAGCAAATCAACTGAGAAACCATTAGAAACAAAAGGAGACCCTATTAAGGTGACCGATTACAAAAATTAATAAACAAAAAATTAATTCTTTTCCCTTATAATGAAATAGTTTGATACACTTTTATAATGGGAGAAGAAAATCACAGCTTTAATAGAAACATAACAGATAATATATCTAAGAATAAACTTAACAAAATTGCAAAAATATGCCAGACCTAGAGGAAAAAAGTGCTAAAACTCTAAGGAAACTTTAAAAAAAAAAAAGTAGAAATGGGAACACATACCATTTCCTGGTATGGGAATATTCAACATAGTAAAGATGTCAGAGCTCCCTAAAATAACCTACAAATTCATGCCATTCAGATTTAAACAACATCTCCATATATGTATATGTAGAAATGTATGTATATATTTTTTAGAATTTGAACAAATGATACTGGAGTTTATATGGAGTAATGACCGTGTAAAAATAACCCAAAAAAAACAGAAAGAGATAGAGAAAACAAACAGTAGTGACTGAGGGACAGGTAGGGGAGGGGATTATAGGAAGAGGTCTGATGGTCTATCCAAACATATAGGATATTAAAATTCAAATGAAGATAATAAGATTTAAAAACATTTGCAACTTAAGAAAAAAATAGACATACAGAGAAAAGAGTTTAAAGTGAATATGCCTATACACTAATTTATGCAGCATTTTAAGTGAGTGAGAGAAAGATGGGTTAGTCAATTAGGATACTTGAGTTTTGGGATGTTTAGATAGCTCAGTGTGAATAAAATAAAGCTGGATTCTTACCTCACTTCTTACACCAAAAACATAGCTAGCTGCATCAAAGATGTAAACATTTGTTAAAAGAAACAGAAAGAAAAGAAAAGAAAACTTTTCTTTCAAGTATTAGAAGGAAGCAAGAGTGGATTTTACTTATAATCTTGGAAGATAGCTGGCCTTTCTAAGCAGGACACAAGAAAATGAAGATGTTACATTAAAATTTAAGTTCTCTATGGCAAAAACAACACATATACAAAAAACTAAGTCAAATGAGAAATAACAAAGTGAGAAAAATATTTGCAACACATTTGACAATCAAAAGACTAATTTCCCTAATTTACAAACGGTTCTTACAAATCAGTAATAAAAAGATGGACAACCCAAAAGAAAACTGGGGGAAGATGTGATCACATAGGTCACAAGAAAAAAAAATACAAATGTTATACATAAAACATGAAAAACTAATCTCAATACAGTGAAATACCATTTTCCACCTATTCAGTTGGCAAAAAGCATTTGATAAAACCAGTGGTGGCCAGGTTATGGGGAAACAGGACTTTTAAAATATATTATTAGTGGGCATATAAATAAACACAGCATTTTGGGGTTGCAATTTGATGGTATCTATCAAAGTTTCAAATGCACATATCTTTTTATCCATTAATCCCATTCCTAGAAATTTATGCTACCACGAACAAGTAGGAGTCCAACCATTTCTTTGTTTTCTTGTTGTTGTTTGTTTGTTTGTTTTGTCTGCCTCTCCCATAAGGCTTTGTTTAAATAGCAAAAACTGGAATCAGCCTAAATGTACATTAATAGGAGACTGGTTAAATACAATTTAGTACTGTGTTGCTTTGGAAAGAGTGAGGGAGGTCGATATGTGTTGTTATACAAAGATCTCTAAATCAAGGAGGAAAAGAGGTAAGATGAAGGACAAGTTACTTAGAGTATTTTATAATTTAAAAAATATATATATATAAAATTTTCTGGAAGGATGTTCAAGAAACTGTTAACAATGGTTGTCTTTGGATAAAGAGATTAGAGATGGGGTGGAGACTTGATACTTCAATCTTTTGTAGTATGAGTCTGTATTTTTTTAATGTTTAATAGAGATTTTCTGGTTGGTGGGAGTAGGGACCATTTTAATTTCTTTTTTTATACCTTTCTATGTTAGGAATAATGAATAAATATTATTTGAAAAAATAATTCTGCCCGGAAGGGGAGTCATTTCTAAGGCTCCTCTGATAATGGGACCAAGACATACACTTTACAGAAACTCAGCTGACTCCTTCTCTTGTCTCTCCTTCTTGTCATCAGAGACGGCCCAGCAGAGACTTGGGGGTGGATGGGTGGGGGAGGGTATGTGCTTTATTCCAGGAAGAGAGACTATATCTTTCTTCAGATTCTCGAGTGGATCCATGACCACCAAAAAAGTCAAGAACCATTTTGGAGGGGATTTCTATATTGGGAGGGAAGTTGGACGAAGAGAGCACTTTCAGCCCTGAAATTCTGTGTTTTGCTTAGTAGACACACACACGCACATGCACACGTACACATTGGGGAGGGGCATTAGACTCTTGCTACTCCCTGACCTGCTGACCTGGGTATTTCTGCAATTATCCAGCTGTTGTTCCTATGTTGGGCGCCGAGGAGGAGGCCCGCAGGAGATATCCATTGGGAAAAACTGTGACAAGTTTGGCATTGTGGTGCACGAGCTGGGCCACGTGGTTGGGTTCTGGCATGAACATGCCCGGCCAGACAGAGACCAGCATGTCACCATTATCAGAGAAAACATCCAGCCAGGTAAGGAGCCTGTGTGGAGTCTGGAAGCCACTGGCGAGGAAGGTGGCATCCATGGGGTCAGGCAGGAGTGAAGGAGAGGGGTTGCTGGGAGCGGACCAATGCTCATTTGTAAGTATGGAGGCAGCAACCTTATTGTGCAGGGATTTGTCATCAGCACTGCCACTGTCCATCCCTGGCCCTTCCTGGGAGGTCGTCTGCCATAGCTTGTGGGTTAGAGCAGAAGCAAAGTGACTTTCCATGTTGTAAATAAAGGACAAGGAAATCCATCTCCATTTCCTAATAGGAACAGAATTGACCAGCACACTGTTGCAGCATCAAAGCTGATAAGCCAAAAAGAGTTCTCCTGGTTGCTTTTATAAGACGCATTTTTGCTGACTTAGGCAACACATCTTTTTGAAACTGAAATATAATTAGGATGTGAGTACATGTGAAAACAATATTTCTACCTAGGAATGTTCTACCGCACGCAAGGCAGAGGAAGTGTCTAGATTTTTAAAAAATACCTTTTCATGTTAAATAATTTTATATAGAAGTTCATATTGAACATGAAAGTAGCTGGTTGAATAATATGGTTGCCGTAAAAATGCTTCTGAGAGTCTGAATTGTGAACTATTTGGGATTTAACTTAACTCTTTGATTTGTTGTCATTGTTCCTTCAATAGCAAGATCAGAGATTTTTTTTTTTTTAATTTTTGAGCAATCAGATTGATAACTAACCTGTTCTCAAAGTTAAAGAGTTTCGAGTGGCATTGGGGGTGGTGTGTGTTGGGTAGTGGGATTGGGAGAACATAGGGCTATTCCAAGTTTCGAATTTCTAATCTGCTAAAAAAACAAGAATCCCCCCTCCCCAACTGTGTTATTTGATGATTGGGCTAACAGAGCTCTCAGGAGTTGCTATGGGCCCTCCTTCTCCCCACTCTGCCTCCTTTCAGGTGCCTGCCTTGGTTTTCAAAGGCCTTAACAGAGTGTTGTGTCACAGGTCAGGAGTATAATTTCTTAAAAATGGAAGCTGGGGAAGTGAGCTCTCTGGGAGAGACGTACGACTTTGACAGCATCATGCACTACGCCCGGAACACCTTCTCAAGGTCGGAATCTATGGTTATGCCTCGTCTGTGTTTTACTGTGCCTGCCGCAGGCGTGGGTCGGATTCCTGGAGGTCTGCGGAGAGTGGGTCTCTGCATGCTCATAGCACAGTTGGCGTGTCTGTCCTTGAAATACAGTGGCCTCTGGGCTGCAGTGAAATATAATCTAATCAGGTTCTCACTAATAAGATTGAATCCCATTGTGGAGCTGGTGTTCCATCATGCCCTAGTGTCACAAGCAGCAAACTGGAAAAGGGAAATTATGGAGAGGTTGGCTGGGATAATAACTTAGAGGCTCTGTGTAAAATTTCCAGTGGGCGGGGAATCTTCTAAAGCATTTCCTACCAAGTTCTCCTAGAAGAGATTTGGTTTATTGGAAGCTAGACTGTGTCAGAGCTTGGAGGGTGGTAAATCATGTGTTCATTTTAGAGGTGAGGAAAATGAGGCCCTAGGCAGCTCAGGGGCACATGGGTAGCTGGGGTTGTAGTGAAAGCAAAGATCCAGGTCTGCCTACTGGTCACACATCATGGTAGCTGGTATCCCCAAGGATGGCCGGACCAGTTATTTACAGCTGGCATCAGCAGGCTCTGTTTTGATGAGTTAGTGCTGTGCTGGACCAGGTGTTAAGTATTTTCATTACTGCCCTTGCTTCTAGACCATAAAAGCGTTTTGTATATACGAGTTTTCCCCTGCTAGTCCCAGTTTGGTGGGTCTGTCCACCCTTGGATTAAAGGAGACACAGTGCAAATATTTTCTCTCTTGGCACTTTTTTCTCAGTCTCCTCTTAAAATCGGCTTGTTTGCTTTTTATTTGTTTATTTAATCAATTAAAAAAATGGAGAAATCCAAGGTGATTCCCAATATGTATGCAGGACAAGGAAAAAAATAGGTGAGGAAATGTGGGGATGGGGTAGGGGGAGAGACCAAGAGTAGACAGCTAAGTTGAAACTTGGAATCAGTTTAGTATTCAGAGATATGCCACAAAGTCGTGTGCACTTTGTTGTGGTCGGCAGCAAATCCTGCCCTGTGCTTCCTAGAGGTCACAGCAAAGAAGGAAACAACTCCATTTCATGTGTCACTGTGTCCATAAAGCTCAAAAGAAATCATTCATTCAGGAGACACACAGCTCTTCTGAGTGAAAGGGAAACTATTTACCCAGGATGCCTTGGCTCTTGGGTAAGGCTGCTGAAAGCATCCTGTTGATGAGGTCGTAGAACTGGGGGAGAGATCCTCCAAACATCGGCATCTCAGGTTCTCAGGGGACACTGTTCCTCCGGCCACACAGCTGATTTAGTTATGAGCTCCATCTTGCATCCCGGCAGGAGCTCTCTGCAGCTCTAATAGGTGGAGTTTGTCAAGGTCAGCATCTTGGAGCAACTGGCATGGGACTGAACTACCCTGTTCTCTTTACTCTTCTCCTGGCTCTTTGTCGGAAGACACCAAGGGCAACATGGTGTCATGAAGAGGCCACTGAACTGGGAGTCAGGAGACTCGGTTTTAGTCTTAGTTCTCCCATGCCCCTTGGTACTGAGGGAGGGCTACACAGTAATTAGGGGCAGCTGTGCGCTGGGTCAATCTTTACCTCCCTGGGCCTCAGTTTCCTCATGAGAGGGTTGGACTTGATGTTCCCCAGGCCCCTTCCAGCTCAAACATTTCATGTTGTAACTTCTCAGTCTGGTGCAGATGGCTGAGGGATTCACAGATGTGATCCATTCATTGCCATATGGAAATCGGATGTTTCCTCTTCCAGGTTAGGAAACCGAGATTTTGAGGGACCTGCTCTGGACTGTGGGGGTCAGGATGAGAGCCCACCTTGCAGAGCTCACAGGGGGAATGCTTGGGTTGTGGGGCTGCGCTGACTCACAAGTTTGGAAAATCCTGTGGGGAATGGCTGGTTAGCGCCACATCAACCCCAGGGGTGGCAGGCTACTAAGTAGAGGGAAAGTATTGATTTTGTCAGGGAGCCAATGTCAAGCTGGTCCAGGTGAGAAGCGTGTAGCTTGGTTCTTATTTCTATGACTGTCATAACTCTTTGTATTGCTTTATAATTTACCTATTAATTAATCTTATACATTTATCTATTAATATTTATCTGTTGTATTCCCCTCTCCCTCACTAGACTGAGATCTTTGAAGACAGAGACAATCTCATTCTCTTCTAGTCCCCAGCACCCAACACGGTACCTGGCAAAGAGTAGGTGTTCAATAAATATTTGTTAAATGAATAAATGAATGAATGAGTCACAGAAGATAGGGATATCTGCAATGCTGGGAAATAAATAGGTGAGAGAAGAAATTTCCATTATCCTCCTTGCAGTTCTTTCCACATACTCGCAAATGTGGTGGTCACTTCATTAAGGAGAACCTGCAAGTATCCGCTATGTAGGGAATTTGGGATAAAGTACTACTCGTGGGTTGTAGGAACTGCTCTGCCTTTTCAATACCTGCTATGCGCCAGTTACTGTGCAAAGCTCTGAAGCCAGAGGCCAAGGCAAGAATGTAGACAGAGTATCTTCTGGCACCAGCATTTCTTTTCGTGTCTTTCTTTTAAAAAAAAAACTCTATTTTTTCCCCTCTAGCTCATAATGCCATCCCCTTTGCCCCTCAGGAGATAGTCATTATTAACACTGCTGTCAGTGTGAACCATTTTATCAGCACAGACCAGTGGAAGACCATGGACCAAACCCATGAAATAATAGTTCCTCATCAAATGTACCAAGAACTCCTGGGAGGGAGATTGACAAGGGGGCAGCCCATGGTGTGATGAGCAGCGAGGAGGAGCAGAGCAGCTCCCTGAAGGTGTTGGAGGGAGGCAGACTTCCCTTCTGCTACTGTGATGTCATCTATCACTGCAGAACAACCTACCCCCAAACTTAGTGGCTTACAACAGCTATTTTTTATGATATTGTAGGTCAGTCTGGCTCATTCTTCTCTGGTCTCACTGGAGATCACTCACATAGCAATAATCGTTTGACAGTGTGATTGAGTTGAGGAGTCCACGATGGCCAGTGCCACGTCTGGCTGTTGTGCTCCCTGTCCACGGGGGCCCCTCGGTTCTCCTCCATGTGGCCTCTCATCCTCCAGCAGGCCAGACAGGGCTTTTCACCACGTCGAACTTGGAGTTCCTGGAGGGCAAGCTGAAAGGCTGCAAGGCTCTTAAGTGTCAGACTCTAGAACTCACATGATGTCACTTCTGTCGCATTCCACTGACCAGAGCAAGCCACAAAACCAGCCCAGAATCAAGTGAATGAAGAAATAGATTCTCCTTCTTAATCAGAGGAGCGGCAACTTCATGTTGCAAACGGATATGGATATTAGGAGGCACAATTCATTATTTTGACCATCTACCACAGCTACCTTCTCACCCCTGCCCCAGGGTTCAGAATGGCTTCAGCAAATCTCTTTTGTAGTAGGTGGATACCTGCATTGCCCTTTCTGCCAGCGTTCTGTGTGGATTTTCAGAAAACTACTTTTTTCAGTGGGGCATTTATCAGTGGGTTACTGGGGGGTTTTCCTGAGCCTTTTGTCAAAAGTTCCCCCCTCCCTAACTCCATGTCATTACTCCTAGTCATATATCCTCTGGAGCTGGCCGACACATCTCTTTGATTCCGTAAAAGAGCAGAAAATGGCTTATAGAACGTTTGCTCATCCGGGGGGGTCAAATGCTATTCCTGCTGATGGGAAACTCAGTCTCCGTGTCTCTTTACGATGGAGCTGTCTCCTTCCAACTTTACTTCCTCTAGTTTATTGCCTCCCCGGGCTGGACCGGGCTGTGGGGAGCAGTGTCTTTGGAGGTTTCCTTGGGCAGGGGTCCAGGAGATGAGGAGACAGTTCCCTGGGACAGGAGCGTCCTTGTTTGGAGGACTCGGCACTGACAGTTTTATTCCCTAAGGCATCTGCCAAACCCTTTCTTCCTTTAGCAGAATGTCAATGCTAAGAGTCGTCCTACATAAAAGGGGGGATGTTACTGCAGTGGTTTACACACGGGACATCTCGTGGAGGATACGTCTTCCAGATCCCAAAGCCTTGCAGGCAGCTCAGGGAAGTGCGGGGGAGGGAGTCCCAGCCCCGAGGAGCTGTCTGAGTGTGAGCCAGTGCTATTACTGTTGTGTTGGTTTCTGAAGTCTCCAATGTTCTTAACTCTACCATTTATCCAATATGCAGTAAGCCCCACTGTTTCTTGGGTGGTGGGAAACACTGGCTGGAAGGAGGAAGAGGCCAGAGGGTGGGCTCCAGGCCTGGCTCTCCATCACTTGCTCTGAACTCTGAGTGAGTCACTTCGGCTCTGCAGGTTTGGTCTTCTCACCTGTAGAGAGGGAATCCTAGTAAGCATGGCGCCTCCCTCCGCGGGTGTTATGAGGATTGAATAAGATGATGCGTGTGAACTGTCCAGCAGGGCCTGGGACATAGGGAGGTCCAGTGAGCACTCAATGAGTGGGAGAACACGTTATCCACACCGCAGACCACGGGCACAGTCGCCTACATGATATGGTCCTCGGCAGGATCAGTTAGCCTGGTTGCTAAGAGATTGTGGTGAGCCTTGCATTTTGTGCAGCAAAATTTCATTCTTCAGGGGATTCAAGAAAATAGTTACAAATGGACACATCTTATGTTAGAGCAGAAGTGCCCATTTTTGGATTAGTAGGTGATTGAATTTAGAATTTTATGTAAAATTCTTCATTGAGGTTTAAAACTTGGTGAAGTCAGTGAGAGAGAGCAAAGATTCCACTACAGTTTCTCTAGAGGACTCCGGACCCAGAGGCGAGGCCATGGGAATCAGAGAAAGGCAGGCCGGGGGTTAGATGTTGGGGGCAGGGGTGCTGAAAAGGAAATCGGCTGATGATCTGGGCTCCCACCTGCTAACGGTGGAAAGAAATTGAGCTTGAAGTCCAAGTTAGAAAAAGGTATTTACCAAAACAAAAGATAACAAAGAATGTAACCAGGAAGAAATAAGAATAATTAATTTTTTTCAATGTCGTCCAGAATTTAGGGAAAAGGAAATGTTTGAAAAGAGAGAGGAGAGAAAAGAGAGGGCAGCTAATAACTAGGTAACGGGTGCCTTTTCACGTTCCCTTTTGGATGTAAATAACTAGTTTGAAGGCCATCACCCCTCAAAAAAAGACAATACAGTATGATAAGAAGAGACTAGATGAATAAGGCTCAAAAGTAACCCAGAGGAGGGAATGGTCAGCTCAGGAGGGGAGGGATAGAAAGGGCTCGGGAAGACTTTTAAGAGGGAAAGCCAACTGATGGGGTTTGGGAGAATGAACAGTTTTCAAGTGGACAAGAAGATGAAGGTTGGGCAGCCTTGGTGGAGCACAGCACGTGCAAAGGCATGTTTGGGGCCAGTAGGAGTTTGGTGTTGCTTAGGATAATGAGTGAGGAGGAGGTGTCGGGAGAAGTGGCTGGAGAGGAAGGCAGAAGACAGGAGGTGATGGGAAGTGGGCGAAGGCTCCTGCGCAGAGAGGTGACATGCCTGCCCTTGCATTTCAGGGCAATCACATTGCCAGGCTGTGGGTGTAGCTCAGGGGTGGCTGAGTCTACAGGGAGGAGGCCTGTTAAGAGCTCCTGGGAAGAATTCAGGAAGGGATGCTGATCTCCTGAGCTAAGGCAGGGGTCTGGAACAAGCAGAAGAATGGAATACATTTGGTTTTGAATGAGTTGGATAAGAGACCCATAAGATAGCCCAGTGGAGGGGTCACCAGGCATTTGGTGCTTAGCAGGTGGTTCTGGGGGTGGACTCAGAGAATTAGCTGTGAACCTATAGGTGGTGGCTAAAACCCAGAGGAGCAGATGGAGCAGGAGAGAGCAGAGAGGAGGAAGAGGGCAGAAACCTGAGGGGTAGCACTTAAGAGGGAAGCTGAAGGGGATGCTAACTTACTGTTCAGAGAAAACAGTGCCCTGGGAACCAGGACGGAGAGAGTCCGAGGAGGAAGGGGCAGCAAAGGTGTCAGTGCTGTAGAGAGGGCAGGTGAGGACTGACAGGTGTCCATCTGACTTGTCAATTGGTCGGCGACTGGTGGCCTCTGCTGGTGTGGCCAGATCACAGTTGGATTGCAGAGTGACGAGAGGTGGGCAGCCAGATGGAAAGTGGAGACCATTCTTTCCAGAAACTTGGTTTAAGAAGGGAAGGAAAGAACCAGGGTGGGAACTAGAGAAGGAGCTGGTTCAAGGGAAGGCCCTACCCCCCAGGAGAAGCCCCAAATTGGGGGTCTGGAAGCAGAGTAGGGGGCTCAGGCAGGGCACAAACCGTGCCCACAACATGGAAGTGTGAATGGGGCTGGTACTCAGCGGGGCATCCTGGTTTTGGTCACTTTAGATTTCATTCATATGGGAGTAGAATAAGCTGTCAGAGTGAGAAGGGGCTGCCATGATCCTCTAGGCCAATCTCTTATTGTTCAGAGAAGTAAACTGAGGCACGGAGACGGGAAAGGACTCGTCTGAGTTCACCCAGGTGGCAGCATCAGGCCTTACATAGAAATCTCCAGGCCAGGACCCTCTCAACTACCTTTCGTTCTCTGCATTCAGCTCACTTTCTATTGATTATCCCTCTTGCCAGCAAAGCCCCCAAACTCCAGTCCCCCTCGTTCACCAACCAGGTCATCAACCAGCACTCGCTGCGCAGCCCCTGAGAGTCTCACATGGCACTGGTTCCCAGGCTCTCTCTGGAGCCTCACCGGGACTTATCCATGCTCAGTACCACCCAACACGCAACTCCGGGGGCTGGCACTCAAACCTTAGTCTCTCTGAAAGGTGCTCCCTGCAGTTGTACAGCGTGGCGGTCTGGGGCCTGGACCTGTCAGGGGCTTTGTGGAAATGCTCAGTACACATCAGTATGGAAGCCCTTAGGCCACTGGGCTGGGGCATATTTTTAAACTTGGCAGTGTCATTTTCCCATTGGAAAGTGAGCAGGCAGCTGATGAAATGGGATGCTCCATTGCCGGCAGAGGTGAAGGAAGCCTCTTCAGTTGTGTCAGCCTGGAGAGAGGCAGGCCGGGGGTAGGAAGGTTGATGGGGTTATGGGCAAGAAAATGGACTGTAAATCCAAGCATGGATGGCCAGATAGCCTTGACTTTCCTTTCTCCTCTCTCTCTCTTTTTTCTTCCTGTAGAGGAGTTTTCTTAGACACCATCCTCCCGCGTCGAGACGACAATGGCGTCAGGCCAACCATTGGCCAGCGCGTGCGGCTCAGTCAGGGAGACATAGCTCAAGCCAGGAAGCTGTACAAATGCCCAGGTAACTGTGAATCCTGGGAAGTCCCAGGGCCTCCATAGCACCCACGGAGCATGACTCAACCGCCCTTTGCAAACATTCCCCCTTGCTGGGAAAACAACTTGGGGAACCTAAAGAAACTGCCCCCTGCAACTGCAATTTCTGGTGTGCTGCTGTTAGGACGTGCTAGACAGTGTAGAAAGCCCAAATGGTGAAGTGATTGCGGGGAGTAAAGTGAATAATAGGTCTTGGAGCCCACAGTTTTACTTGTGGGAGGCTTTGGAATTCTCTGGCACAGCCCAGATGTTCAGAAGAGGAAGAAGCCATAGTGGAACAACAGTGAACAGGGGCCCAATGCCGTGTGCACCCCGTAACAGTAAAAACACCTCTCCTGTCTATGGGAGTAGGGGATGTGGGTTTGGCAAAGCAAAAACCAAGAGTTTTTTCAGGAAGACAAAGAATGAAGGAGATTGTTTTTGGAAGGATGAGCGTCAGTTTCCCAAACACTGGAAGGCAGAGGAAGTCTCCGTGCTGTAAACGAGATAGTCTCTGTGGTCTTGGGGCTTTCCTTGCATCCAAGGTGCTGGTCAGTGGCCAGGTGTGTGCCACTGAAGACTGGACAGTATACTGGGGTCTGAGCAGACACCCACTTCTCTGCCAGTTCAGAAACCGCCTCCCCTTGAATTTGCCCTCTTTGCCTTCTGTTCTCTCGGCTTCAGCATCATCACCTCCGCTGTCCTGGGGGTGAGCTCACATCACCTGCTTTAGGCTGTTGAGCTTCAGTACAAAGCACTGGTTACAGCAGCCAGGTTCTTACCGCTGATGGGACGGAATGCATTCCAGTGGCTTGAGGAGAAAGAAGGAAATTCCATGACCAACAGGTCCAATAACCTTTCTAAACCCCTAGACCAGACACATGCTTTCATCAGGGGACAGGATATTTGAAATACGGGCCATCTTAGAAAATCTGGGCCATCTCATTGCCCTACTAAACGAGATCATAGGGTGTGCAAAGGGCCGTGGGGCAGCTTGCTCCATCACAAGACTCTAGGAAATATGTCCATCCAGCTTTCAGTCATCTGGGGGCGTGTTAGGGCTGAAAAACAGGACACACATATCATGTAACCTTGCTGAATTGAAAGAGAAACCTTATAGCATTCCCTGGGAAATGCCGTAGTATTTATTTAGTTATAATGTATGTGCCTCTTACTTCCCAAAAGGATTCGAGGCAGCTGGTAAATACCATGGAGCCATACAGTAATGTATCTGTTTTTGCAGAATGTTGATGATTATTCTAAAATAATTTCCATGGAACCCTCAGGGATGTTGACTGCCGGGCATAATCCTCCTGATGCCTGGCAGTTGTTGGGTAACATGATATCGAGGCCCCGATATCCAGGATTTCCTGAGGCCAATGATGGGCCGCTCTCCAGCTATCCCTTCCTGCAGCTCCAGGTCATTTCAAGTCGTAGCGGAAAGTGAGGGTAGTTGCCTGCAGAGGTTGAATTCCATGTAGGAAAAGGTGCATAAAGACGCTTGTTTCCCACACTTTGGGGGTAGCCCCATAAGTGCAGAGGCACTCAGCAAACCAATATCTTTGTCTTTGGGGTGCAAATCCCTAGGGGGGAGGGGATATGAAACCTGCAGCTTCCAAGCCTACTCATACAGGTGACTTTTTTAGAATGAATTAGGGGAAATATTTTTCACATACATAGGACTAGGTTCTAGACTCATAACCAGGCAACCCTCAAACATTCAAGGGCAGAACAGCCTCCTGCAGGGTATTCCGGCCTCCCGTGCCTCTGGTCATTTTTTTTTAATTTTCTTCACTCTTGTGGCTCTTTCAGAGATGGGTAGCAGAAAAAGAAGAGGCAAGATTCAAACTAACAGCTGCAAAGAATGTTCAAAGCATTTTCTTTTTCATTTTGCTTCACTTGCACTGTCATATTCTCTCTGCCACAGACGTCATTCATAGTAATTATAATGGCTGCTGTGTATGCAGCACTCACTCACTCTGTGCCAAGCTCTGAGCTGACCCATTTCATTTAATGCAGATGATTTCATTAGCCCTCTAGATAGTTCCTGCCCATTTTACAGATAAGAAAACTAAGGGAAACTTCCCCACCGCGGCCAAGTGGCTGAAGAGCTCAGAGTCAAGCCCAGCTCTAGGCTGAGCTCAATCCTGAGAACCACAGAAGATACCCCTGGGGTGTGACTTTTTGGCATCCAGCCCCTGTTTTTGCTTTTATTAACCAGAAAAAAATGTCAGTCTGCCTGACATGCTTCTCACTGCGTGTTCCGAGAGCTTTGGCTGGTAAAGGGGTGAATTTGCTCAGCGGCCCCGTGTTGGGGCGCTGCTTAGGTGGGAGCGCGTGCGCATGCCAGAATCACAGTGTCGTTTTGCTTGCACAGCATGTGGGGAGACCCTGCAGGACACGACAGGAAACTTTTCTGCACCTGGTTTCCCAAATGGCTACCCTTCCTATTCCCACTGCATCTGGAGGATATCGGTCACTCCGGGGGAAAAGGTAGGTGTGAAACCACCTCAGGAAATGACGTAGCTTTCTTTGAGTTGGGTGAGGCGTGAGGAATTATTATTAATAGTAGTAATAACAGCTGTTATGTTATGAGCACCCACTGTGTGCCAGGCACTGGGCTGGCTTACCTAACATTCATTATTTCTGGACTTTTCAACCAGTCTCCCCCATACAAATGGAGGCCTGTGTAATAAATGTCCACATAAGTTGTAAATCAAGCTCACAGTTTATAAAACAAAGTAGGCTCTATCCTCCTGCCTTGGTAAACATACCATCAGGATGCCCGGGAAGGCGAGCATCCAATTTAGAATTCCCTGACACCTAGGAGTGCTGGTCTGGAAGGTGGCAATATGGGGGGAGCTAGTCCCCAACCCAGGGCTAGCCTCTCCTCTTCCCAGCCCCCGCTCCATCTCGGAGCACCCAAGGCAACACTCCAGCCCACACTCCCAAGCACCCTCCACTCCTACCTTGCAAATGGCTGTTCCTTGACTGCCCCTCCGGTGGAACTGGTGTGTTGTCTACCCTCGGGAGGATGGATCCAAGGCTCAGAGCTGTTTGGACAGAGAAGTCCAGGGTCCTGGGCACCTGGAGTGAGGTCTATCTAGGAGCATCACAAGCTCTGGGAGAACAGGTTCCTGTGGCTCTGAAGATTCCACCACCTTCTAGGGCAGAGCCCAGGGCAGGGGCTCTTGTGGCCTGGTCCAAGGGTGGTATGTTCTTAACCCTCTTGCAGAGTGTGTCTCCTTTTATCCATTATATGGACAAGGAATCTGAGGCTCAGACATTTAACAAATCGCCCAAATTCACTGTAAGATGCAGAACTGGGAACTGGGGCTTCTGTCCTTTGAACCTTGTGTTTTTTTCACTACACCTCTCTACAAATCCAAGGGTTCTTCAAGCTGTCTCAGCCTAGATGTGGCCATCTTTGAGATGCCCTCCCTGTCCCTTGGGTCTAGTTCCTTGCAGTCATACCTGTCATAGCTTGTCTCACAATATCAGACAGCTGGTTTATTTGGCTGTCCCTCTTCTGGACTCTAAACTCATTGAAGACAGAGATTGTTCGCCCCCAGATTCCTGGCACCCAGCCCAGCCCATGGCACAGAGTCACACAACAAGTACTTATTGAATAGACGTGTGGATGGCTGAGTGGCTGAGTGAAAGACCCGCATCTCGGGGCACAGTGGGGGTGTTGGGTTTTCAGATGCCTGTAACCAACCTTCAGGTATCCCTAATTCATAACTTTAAAAAAAGTCCATTTAAATGTAAGTTAAACATAGTGTGATAACTAGAGAGAAATAATGGCTAGGAACCATTGTGAGTGTTTTCTCTGGGCCGGGCACTGGTCTCTGCATGTTATATGGATTCTCTCATTTAATCCTCTCAACAGCTTCATGTGATGGGTGCTATTTACCACACCCATTTTTCAGGTAAGGAAATGGACTTGCCCAAGTCTACTCAGTTTGTTGCAGAGTTGGGATTTGAACCCAGCTGATTTCACTCTGAGAACATAGATGCTTGACCGTCATCCTATATTATTCCACAAAGGGGACAGGCTAACAGACATTTGAACACACACACAACACCTGCATGCACACTCCCTTCCTCTGACTCTAAGCATTTATGACTGTGTGGTTGTCATCTTGAGCCTGAGAGACTCCAGACCTGTCTGCCTTGAGTTCACGTGCTATCTCTGTAGGAGGCATCAATGGGAGGGAGGCAGGGAGAGGAAGGGGTCTGGTAATCCCCAAATTGTTGAATTGCTCCTTGTAGCAGAGGCTGTGCAATGTGTTTGAACTGCGTAAGATTCACCAAGCCTTAATTATTATTGCTAACTGGGGGCAGAGAGAACACGTATCGTTGAAATTCCTGCACCAATTATTTCAATTTCTGCTTCACCCAACCTTCCCCAGAGCTGCTAGTAATTAGCAAACTTGATTGATTCGAGTATCACCTCTTGTTCATCACCTCTTCCCCTCTGGTCTTTATGGTTCACTAACATACTTAAAATAATTAGCCTGAATAATTATCCCGTTCATTCAGATCATGAATGTGTTGCCAAGGAAGTTGTAATAACATTTCCTTTCTAAATTTTAAAAAGCAAAAGCTGGAGAACTATACTGCAACCAGCTATCAAGTATTCCTGAGCCCTTCCACCTCGATATGAGCCCTGAGGGGGGTACAGAAGGAATCTGAGGTACAATCCTGGTCTTCAAGAGACGGAGAGTTTAATCAGTGTCCCCCCCTCACCCCTAAGGAGTCTGATTTAATTGAAAGAGGGGCATTTGTTTGGCACCAATATATTGTTTTTAAGCTTCCGTGGTGATTCTAATATGCAAGCAGGGTTGAGAACCACTGGAAGAGTGACATCACACACACACACACACACACACACACACACTCCCTATGACACAGGAGGTGAGCTGGCCTGTTATTTTCTGGTACTGACTTCATTTGCTAGGAGATCACAGGGCTTTGTGGAGGAAAGTGCTACTTGCCCTGAGACCTGAACGTGAGTGGGATTGGCCCAAGGGGAGGGGTGGGCCCTCTCAATGCCACTCAAGACGGGCAGCCTGTGAAGAGCGCTTAGTGTGTCCAGTGTGTGGTGCGCGAAGTGTGCACTCAGTGTGGCTTGATTTTTTAAATTGTCGTTTATTGAGGGCCTGTTCTGTGCCAGGCATAGCACCAGGCAGTCTGTATACAGTCTCTCGTGCAGTCCCCTCAACAACCCAATGACGTGCGTGTTGTTTTCCAGATGAAGGAACTAAAGGTCCAAGCGGACTAGTATCTTGCCAAGGTCCCAGAGCTAGTGAGAGGTAGACGAGAGAAGAAATCCACATCTGCCTGACTCTAAAAACATCTGCTTTGCAAGCACTGTAAGAGAGAAAGGGAGGCGTTCCAAGGAGGAGAAGATCGCGTCCAGCTGTGCAATCAGAGAAGGACCTAGGGAGGAGGCAGGGGCCGCTTGAGCTGGGCCAGGAGAGGGTTCCACTAGTACGGATATGTCAGGGCTCATTGGGAAGTAAGGTCACATAGGGTGGTTGCTGGAGGCTCTGGAAGGGAAGCAGAGAATTTAATTTATGAGATGCGGGCATAGGGAGCTGCTGAAGTTTTCTGAGCATAGGAGGGATCTGGTAAACATGAGATGTAAGTGCAAGATTGATCTAGAAGCCCTAGTGTGCAGAATGGACGGGGGCACAGCAGGGAGAGTTCCGGAATCATCTCGGCAGGAGCGATGCAGGAAAGGCAGTTGAAGAGGCAGCAAGACTGGCTTGGAGCAAGGGTCACAGACATCTTAAAGGAAGACAGTCTGTCCACATGGGTGCTGAGCAGATATGATGCAGCAGGTACAATAGGGGCAAAGCAGAGATAACTCCAAGGTGTTGTACCTGGGTCACTGGTGATGGTGTCACCTACAGATGGGGAAGCTGGAAGGGAAATACTTTGCTTTGAAGTGTTCTCACAGTTAATGGGGAGTAGGAGACAGGAGCCAGCCGAGGAGAGAGAACAGTGGAGAGAGGACAGGCTAGCATAATGAAAACTAGAGAGGAGAGGTTCAAAGCAGAGGGGCCATGGAGAACAAGGACAAATCTATAACTGGCTTTTTGATTTGGCCAGGAAGGCATTGGAACCCTTGACTTGCAGCCCTCCAGCCTAAGGGTTTACTTAGAGATAGCAGGACCTGGGCCTGTTACATAAGAAAGTGGCCATTGGAGGAGAGAGTGTGATGATGCCTGAGAGAGATGAGCTGGCTGAGAGCAAGGTCCCTCTGAGTGAGAAAAGAAATAGGGTCACGGGTGCAGGGGCTGGAGCAAGGCTGCCTTCAGCGGGACACTGGAGAGCAAGAAGAGCTGAGAAATGATGGAGCAGTGACATGCTGAGCACGGGCAGAGAGCAAACTTGACAGCTGGGGCCAGATGGGCGTGGGCACCTTGCCTGGCGGGGCTTGAATGGAGGTGAAGGGAAAGGGGAAAACCTGACCTCTGTCTGGGCCATCTGCCAGGACAGCCCTGAGCTGGAAGGGTTGCAATGGGCACCAGAGCCAGTTCACTGGTGCAGCGCCTGTGTGCTGTGTCCATAGGGCCCACCCAGGCCCCTCCACGTTTATGTAAAGGGACATCCACTGAACAGCCACAAGGATATCCAGAAGAACTGGAACCCTCCTTCCCAGTCCTTCTGAACCCCCTTTCCCCAGCCTTCACTCCTTCTCCTCGCCGCTTCTGCCTCCTCATTCCTGACACACATACAATGACCTACGCTGGGCACACAATGCAGCTCCCCAAACATGTCAGTACCTTGGCTCTTGTCAGTCCCTCACTAGAATGCTCTCTCACCCTACTTCTCTGCCCACTGGACCCCCACTCCCCTTAGGTTAAATCACCTCCTCTGAGAAGCCTTATCCAGTATCACCGGCAGAATTTATTTCTCCCTCCTTGGGACTCCAGAATGCCCTTTCTGTCTATCCTTTTCTTTTCAGCATTTATACCATACTGTCCTAATTAGCTTCATACATCTGCCTTTCCCTCGTTCTCTGAGCTCCTTAAAGGCAAGAACCCCGTCTTACTGATCTTTCTATCTCGATTGGCCAACACCGACTGGCACACAGCAGGTGGTCAAGAAACAGTGGTGGAATGAATGAATGAATGAATGAATGAACAAACGCACAGACTAGCTGTTAGACTGTTAGCCTAACTGGAAGGCTGTTAGACACACCATGCCTCAGAGGAGTGAGGTTATGGCCGCGGGGACATTGATCGTGAAGGTGCCCAGATGCACTCGGGCTAACCCCGGACCCTCTGGAATGATTGATGATGTTATAAGATCTTTTCGTATCTCTGAACTTCATTGACCTCTTACCTCCTTCCAAATCCCCAGTCTCAACTCGTCCTGGCCCATCTTTTTAATGCATCTTGCTTTCTGTAAACCACCGAGTGACTTCAAAAGCTCAAGTTATTCCCCAGACAGAACCAAAGGACCCATCTCCTCTGTTTACTCCCCATCCTGCTTAAGGTTTATTATTTAATGTCAGGAGGCTTCCTGTGAGTGTGCTTTTGAGAGGACACTCCTACTGTGGTCTGAGCACTCTGTATGCTAAAGGGTAATGTGAGAACACCAGTATTCAAGCTGCATCTTCAACTCCTCAGGCTCTGCTGCCAAAACTCACTTTACGGTAACTCTTTACAGATCGTCTTAAACTTCACATCCCTGGATTTATTTAAAAGCCGCCTGTGCTGGTACGACTACGTGGAGGTCCGGGATGGTTATTGGAGAAAAGCCCCCCTCTTAGGTGAGTTGACTTTAGAAAGCCTTACGAGCAGAGCGAGGGGATGTTCTGTGTGATGCTGTTAATGTTCGGAAGGGTCCATCCTGACGGCAGTCACAGGAAGCTCTCAAGGGTCTGTGTCATTGTAAAACTCTGAACACTCCATTTGGCCACACATGTTAAAAGCTTTTAAAACTGCAAATACCCTTTGACCCAGCAATTCCACTTCTTGGAACTTATCCTAGGGAACTAATTAAGGAAGTGTGCAAAGCTCTAGCTACAGGGATGTTCACTGAAGCAGGCAAAATTGAAAACAGTTTAAATGTTCAACTGTAGGGGTTAGCTGAATAAATTATAATACATCTTTTCAATGGAAAACTATCCAGCCATTAAAAATAAAGTTGGAGGTGACTATTTGTTGATACAGAAAGGTGTTCATTGTACCTTGCTAACAAAAAAGCTGTTACAAAATAGATCATGCAAGATTCCATTTTAATAAAAATATGTCTATATGTATATTGGGCAGGCATTGCAAACTCAAATGCCTTCAGGGATAAAGGTGTAAATGAATGAGATGAGGCTGGTATAATAACATAAGGAGTGGTGGACAGTGTGGCAAACTGAACAGTGAATATCCTGACCAAAATTACTCAAAACAAAATTACTTAAAACATTGTGCAGGCTGAATTGGACTGGAAGAAACCATTTAGTGATGTATAATATAAATGTCAAGTTAAATTATAAATATGAATTAATACACAGTGGTTATTTCAGGATGATGGAGTATTTTTTAAAAATTTATTCTGTTGTTCCTGGTTTAGCTATATTTCCTAATTTTTCTATGATGAGTATGTATTCTTTTTAGGAGATGAACAGTGTATGAACTCCTACGTGAAAAGGCAGCTTGGACCTTTGAGTGAGAGGCAGTGGGCAGGCGGCATAAAGAGAAAGACCAGTTCATTTAGGATTGGTCGCCAGAAGAGAGATCTCTCATGGGTGACCAGGGAAGATTAATGCTGTAATGAGGACTAGTAGCGTCAGTGTCCTGGGAGTGGACATAGGGCCTCCTTTGGCCTCAGAATGGCAGCCATGGTGGAGTCAGAGAGAGAAGCAGACTTACAAGGAGCCTGACGGAAGGGTCTTGGCTGAGAGTGGGTTGTCCTCGTCTTTAGAGTGGTCTGTAAGGTGGGCTTCCGCACTGGACAAGTTTAAGGTCTCAGTGAGGACTTTGTCCCTGGCATATCCTCACGTGGGTAGAAAAGCCACACCTGTTAAGTTGCGAATGACTGGCCTGAGAGGAGCTGCTGTTGGGACAGCTGACTAAAGATGAAGAAGAGAAAGGAGAGAGCTGAGCTGGCGAGTTTCACTGACAGACCGAGCCTGACTTCGTGTCAGATTCTGGGGTAGGTCAGAAGAGACTGGGACAGAGGATCTGGCTGGACCCAAAGAGGCCTGGCAGATATTAGGCTCTGTATGACCAAAGGGTCTCAGCCAGGTCAGCTACCACCGGGAAGAGCACACAAGCCCCGTCTGTCCAGAGGGCCGTGAGTTTCAGTTCCTAGAAGCACAAACAGGCAGGAATTTGTGTCCACAGGAGTTCTAGAAAGAAGCCAGGGCAGGCTCTGAGTTGGGGTACAGGTTACCACCATTAGGAGGGATCACTTAGGTAGTTAGCATCCAGGTAAGGAAGACAAGAAAGTGATCCCCAGGCCAAGCATGGACAGGAGTGTGTACACTGCAGGACAAATGGGTTATGCCACCTGATGGCAGGGTGGAGCTGCGTGCCTGGATGTCTGCTCCCTGCCTAATGTGAGCAGACATGGTGTGCACTAGCAGCCAGAGGGAGGCAGGGCTCTACAGGTAGCACATTGAGGGGTACAAACATACAGAAGGCTTTGTTCCTAGTAGCAGAGGTTCCCAAACCTGGCTGAACACTACCATCAGCTGGGAAGATTTCCATGACTACAGATTCCTGGGAGACTTCTAAATCAGAATCCCCATGAGTTGGGTCAAGGAATGATCCTGCTTATCTATAAATGGATGCACACATGTACTTGTCTAGTACCAAATGCATAGAAAGAGGACATCCCGGGTGCTTATCAAACCATTGAAGGTGGTTCCCTCTGAGAAAGGACGCACTGTGGTGGGAGGCAGCTTCATGGTTTGGTTGTATACTTCTGGATTGTTTGGATCTTTTACAAGAATGCATTCAAGTATTCTTTTATAATTAAAATCATGAAAGAAGCTGTGTGGGAGGAGTTTCCTGAGAACATGGAATGACAGACCCCCTCAGCCCAGCAGGACCTTCGAGTCACTCATCTCACACCTTCACGAGAAAACCATGCTCCCTAAGTGTGGACCAACTCGCTGAGGCCACACAGCCAGCTAGTGGTTGAGATCAGACCAGAACTTAGATGTCCTGGTGACAGGGAGAGGGGACTGCTAAATCTGAGAAAGGTCTCCCTCTAGAGATAAAATGCATGATTCGATTCGTTGTTTATCTGAAATTCAAATTTAACTGGGCTTCCTGTGTTTTTGTTTGCTAAATCTGGCAACCCTATCCGCGCCCCCCAGGAATGTGATAGACTTAAAGGGCTCAGGAGGAGGAAGTTTCTGTTACTGAAGTTCCCCAGAGAGGGTCAAGGCACGCTCCTGAGAATGGGCACAGGCAGAGGAATTTCCAGCCGTTCGCTTTTCTTGAACTTGAGACAAGAATTTTCTCACTACAGATCCGGTATCTCTGGCTACACTTTCATTGATTAGATGGGGCTTTTGCTGTTCGTTCTTGTCAGTGATGTTTTGTTTTGTTTTGTGTGGTTTTTTTCTTTTGGCTCATATTTTACACACTTTCGCAGTGTGTGTGTGTGACTATGTGTTGAGTGTGCTGTAGCCAAGGCATGGCCCGGTGCCTGTAACCATCGTCCTTCATTTGCAGGAATTGTCCTTTGCCAACTATTTGGCCTGCTCTGATGTTTCCAAATGCAGTTGTTAGTGAACTTTTGTGTTTGGAACAAGTGCATTGTGTGGGCCGAGCTGGTCCCTGGGAGGGGTCAGTGCCATGAAATCTGCCGAGAGGAGGCAGGTCAATGCCCCTTTGGCAGGAGAGAGAGCGGATTAGGGCGGATTGTGAAAGTATGCATCTTGCTCTGAAAAACTGTGCATTGCATATTTTCCCAGGGCAGTGTGTGAAAATCCAGGCATAATGGACCCATAATTTTTTATGAATGAACCCTTTATGACTCCCCACGGAGCGCACTTGTAGCGTCCTCATCTGCATTTCCTCTTCTTGATATCCTTATTAAACTCCTCCTCCAAAGCCAGGAACCAGATTTCAGTTTAGGAATTTGACACCTTTTCTCTAGTCCAGTTTCTCTCCAGCCTGTTAGGCTTTTTGGAAGGAGGCTGTTTGGGACCCGGGTTTTCACATAGCGATTAAAGGGAAGTGTAAGTAGATTGAGAACACATTTCATGGCTGGTTAAAGACATCAAATTGGTTTTTCAGTTTCAGGGGTCACTTATGAGATTGCACCTAAAGGGAGGAGGAAGGTGTCTGCGTGGAGAACTCACCCAGTCGTTGCGAACACTGTCCTGTTAATTGGATTGCCCTCCCTTACTTCTGCTGGAGGAATTACTCTCACAATGCACTTTTGTATGCAGAACTGTCTTTGGGCATTCTGTACCACCACAATGCACACAAAAGCCCTTTTTCCCCCTTTCCCTGAAGTGGGGAGGGAAGTTCAGAGAGGCCAGCCTGGCCAATCAGTGTCGCGTGGCCCCACTCCTGGGGCAACCTGGGCAGGGGCAGCCTCCCAAAGGAGCAGAAAATAGCTCGAGTCAGATAGCCAAGCCTGGCATTACCACCGACTTGCTTTATGATTTGAAGCTTTGATCTTCATTGCTATGTGTCTGTGCCCAAACTGTGAAAGAGGAATGATGTTTATATTCCCAGAGAGCAGAGTCGATGTTTATGGATCCAAAAATGTAGTGCTCAGAATTGCACCTTAAACAGAGAAGTTCCTTTTGAGGGTGGTGGTGATGACGGGGATGAGGATGAGGAAGATGAGACTGATGATGAAGGTCAAGATCTCAGACTACCACCATTCAAAAGCTTGCATCCGCTTACAGAATTGAGTGTAACTCAACCCAAATTCTCCAATCCTCACTTTTCTCATAATTGAGATTAATGCTAGTACCTATTTCAGGGTGTAAGAGGGGATGCAATTGGATAATCCATGTAAAGTGCTTAGGACAGTGTCTGGTATAGACATGCACAGTAAAAAGGGGGCTTTTATCAGAACCATATGGTGAAGATGAGAATGTTGACAGCAGTCAAAGGACAATGTAGAGGGTTCTAGTTAAGAATTCCAAGGTGGTTTGGGGAGAGACTTTACTTAGAAATAACTTGTAATTTGTTCTACCAAGTCCAGTTCTGCCAAGGCAGTAAGATACACCTTAGCCTATAATTCCTACCTCATCCAAAGAACTAAGTAGAGATGGTTGTCCTGTGGCCCTGGGGGCCGGTGGCTCATCTCGTCCGGTTGGGTTCTTAGGCAATAAGGCCATGGAAGTCCCTCTCTCTTTTGGAAAGAGTCCCCAGCGGCTGTGACAGCTGGAGTTTTTAAAAGAAGAAATTTGGACTTGAAACTTTGGCTCAGCTGAGAAGGAATTCCTTTTGTGAACCGTCGATGTCTAACTGCTGCTCGGCGGCTCTGTCTCCTCCCTGGGAAGCAATACTTCCCATGCTTACGTGTTGTTTTCAAAGGACTAATTGACACTAATTGGCCATGCCAGAGGAACCATTACCGAAAATTTATAGGCTTCTGATGGACTTTTCCTTGCTGAATTCTTGGCAGCGGTTTGAGCTCATCTCACTTAGTATTAAGCTCAACAAATCCAAAAGGCTGCAGGTGGCCAGAATCGGAAGAAAGCAGAAGGAGATTAGCAGCCTCTACCCTGTGTCTCCCCAAAGAATGTCTGCCTCAGATGGCCATTAGGAAATGTCCATAGTTGCATTTCCTCATCCCCCAAGCTCACTTCCCCATTTCTCAGAAAGGCAAAGCAGCGTTACAGCTTCAAGGGGTTGACTGGTCACCTAAGACAGTGCTGGCAATAAGAGAATGCCCAAAATATTTGTTAAATGGACTTAAAAAAAGAAACTTGAGATGTAATTCACATACCATACAACTCATCATTTAAAGTGTACAAGTCAAGGGTTTTTTAGTGTGCTCACAGAGTTGTACGTCCATCCCCACAATCAATTTGAGAACATCATCACCCCTAAAAGAAAAACATACCCGTTAACAGTCACTCCCCATTCCCCCAATATTAAATGGATTTATTTTTTGGAGGAGGATTAGCCCTGAGCTAACATCCGCTGCCAATCCTCCTCTTTTTGCTGAGGAAGACTGGCCCTGAGCTAACATCTGTGCCTGTCTTCCTCTATTTTGTATGTGGGACACCTGCCACAGCATGGCTTGATGAGTGGTGCATACATTCGTGCCTGGGATCTGAAGCAGCGGACCCCGGGCCACTGAAGCACAGCGTATAAACCTAACCGCTATGCCACCAGGCCAGCCCCTTAAATGGATTTTTGAGTGACTCACAGTCAGCGTTTGGGAGAACCATGGCTTCCAGTACAAACAGGCCTTGACTGGTCTGTGTTGAGAACTGTTCAGTATGACTCAGCCCATCTCCCACTCAGCCCCATCTCTGTCCTTGCCATGATGGCCATCATTATGTGGCATTAGAAATTATATGGCCAAGGATTACTGTGCACTGGGAAGGATGGCCTTCCCCCTTTCCTTTGTAGAGGGTCCAAATTTCAGATCCATACCCTAGTGTCTAAGAAATTTATTTGTATTTTTCAGTAACAAAAGTTCAATAAAAATTATAAGCCCCTTTCCATCAGGTAGTGGGAACTTAATTTCAGTCACTTTGTGGTTTCTTCCCCCAGGGTGGAAGTGCCAGTGAGGGGCATAGTTTGTGCCAGGGCATGGTGGTGCACGAGGCACCCATATTGCCATCTGGCTGGCATTGCTGTTGGGATGTCTGTCTCCAGTCCTCTGTCCATCTTAGTGGCTGCTGTGCCTCCTCCTTGCTTCAACCCTAGGCCAGTTCAAATGGTACCAAGTCCACATCTCCCTAGAAGATGTTCTGTGAGAGATGTTCTGTGGCTCCCCAAGTCCTCTGGGCTGAGGGAAAGTCGCTTCCCTACCCCTCCCAGGAGCCTGGAGTCACGTGGCTGCCATCATGCTGTGCTTTGCCTGGAGGGCTCTGCATGCCTGCCTCCTGGCCTCAGGTCTTACAAACCACACAGACATTTCTGTTCTGGCCCCAGGTGAGACATGGGAATCCAGCGTCTTGTTCCCCTCCAGGCTCTGCCCAGGAACTGAGCACAATTCTCTGCTTCTCCCAGATCCTTAAACCCACTTGGGGTCTCCATCATCCTTTTCCATCCAGGCTCTCAGCTCAGGGTGGGACAGGATACGGGGTCCTTTTAGAGAGTCCACAGTACCCTCTCCAATCCTCTTTCTCCTTAGTCCCCTCACTCATCCATCCTAGGAATCTTTCTAAGACTACAAGGATGGGAAAATGTGCTCCTATTCCATGTGTATTTTTTCAGATCTTTGGTATTGTGACTGGGCTTGTGAAATTCAGAAGTCAAAAAGATTTGATTTCTCCATTGTGTGTTTTCTGGCATCGCTTCTCTGAGGCAAGGAAGGCAGAGTATCTTCCCAAAGGGATGCCCCCGGAAGAGAAGGGCTAACATGGCATAGGAAATACCAGGGGAGGGAACATTCATGCGGCCACACCGGCAGCACCTCAAGAGGACCCCTTTGGCAGGGGAGGGGCTGCCTGGGCTGTCCTCTGGGTACTTTGATTGGCGTCTGGAAATCTCCCACAGGTAGCCTGGAGGAGGCACCCGGGTTGTTTCCATTCCATCTTTTTTTTTTTTTTTAAAGATTTTATTTTTTTCCCTTTTCTCCCCAAAGCCCCCTGGTACATAGTTGTATATTCTTCGTTGTGGGTCCTTCTAGTTGTGGCATGTGGGACGCTGCCTCAGCGTGGTTTGATGAGCAGTGCCATGTCCGCGCCCAGGATTCGAACCAACGAAACACTGGGCCGCCTGCAGCGGAGCGTGCGAACTTAACCACTCCGCCACAGGGTCAGCCCCTCTGTTCCATCTTTTAATCCTGATGTACTACAAGATGATTTGCCCCAGGGTGGGGTATTACCTTGAACCACATTGGAAGAAACACTGCTTCCTCTCTGTCTGCAGCTAGCCCCTTCTGGCTGTCCACCAACAGCCTGACCGTTCTTTTCCGCTTCGCAGGTAGGTTTTGTGGTGATAAAGTCCCGGAGCCCCTCATCTCCACAGACAGCCGGCTCTGGGTGGAGTTCCGGAGCAGCAGCAACATCCTGGGCAAGGGTTTCTTCGCAGTGTATGAAGGTTTGTTCACGGTGAAGGAAGCCACCTGGGAGTTCTTGATATGCCTCTGTCTTTCCCATGCAGCCCGCTGTCCCTCTTCCGCCCAAGCGTGCGTGGCAGCTGCCAGAGCCAGGGTGGGGGCCACCACCGCAGGGGCTATGCTGCTCCTTCCCCCACATTCTGGAAGCAGAGAGGCCAGCTGTGCTTACTTCAGGACAGGCGTCATGTACCTGTCACCACCCTGCTGAGCCCTCATTCCAGTCCAGCTGGGGAGCCAGCTTCCCCCACACAGGGGTGGTTTCAGGAGGCATAGAACCCTGTGGAAATGAAAGCAGCCTCTGAATAGCTGTGTGAGCCTGAGCAAAGAATCTAACCTCTCTGGGCCTCTATTTGTTTCATTTGTGAAAAGAGGACTTTGGACAATGGCAGGGAATTTCCAACTACTTTCTTGCAAGGGCCTCTGAGGCCACCGTGGTGGTTGAGTTGAGGGAACCAATAGATCTGGGGTCTAGGCAGCTGCCACCAGGGCAATTCTGCTTCTATTTGTTCCACTTGTTGGATTTCTCTGGCTAGCTACGCCTGTGGCCCCCCTCAAAGGAAACCACGGGCCTTAACTTGTAATTTTGGAGAGCCCAAAATTTTGTTTTTATAAAAGAAATAACATGCGTGTGCATGTGTGTGCATGCGCACTCACGCGTCCCTCTGTGTCAGCGTTCCTCGACCCTCTGCATTCACATCACCTGGGGAACTCTTAAACGTCACTGCTGCTGGAAGCTCCCCCAGACCCACTTGAATCAGAACCTCGGGGGATGTGGCCTCAGCTTCTGCAGCTTGAGAAATCTCCCAGGTGATTTTAAGGCACGAGAAAGGTAGAGAACCACTGCTCTACACCGTTATTTCCTTTGTATGAAAAAAATTCAGAGTTGCAAACAAATGAAATTATGCCTTTCTAGAGGCACAGTCTTGGTTGCATGGACATGAAAATGTTGGCAAGAGGAGCCACCTAGTGGTGATAATGGCCACCCAACTTCCTTCGTAAGGTGTGACCAGGGACCCCCTTCCTCCTGGCTCTCTCTCTAAAGCTACATGTGGGGGAGACATTAACAAAGACGCCGGGCAGATTCAATCTCCCAACTACCCCGATGACTACAGACCTTCCAAGGAATGTGTCTGGAGGATTACGGTTTCGGAAGGGTTTCACGTGGGGCTTACCTTCCAAGCTTTTGAGGTGAGTACTGCTCAGATTGTCTTCCCATGGATGAAGGAAATGTCAACTTCTGTTAGACACTCTCTGCTCTGTAAAGATGGGTTTCCATTTTTGGGCTGAAAACAGGAACCTAAGGGCCATTTCAAGCCCATGGTGTGTGGTACCCGGATATCTGATATCAAAACCTTTGCAGGCTTTGAAATCGTGTTCACTTCCTTTCCAATGGCTGCTAGAGGGGGTGGGGAATAATCGGAGAGCAGGTCTAGGATGGGACCCAAGGAGGTTTGTAGAATTGTTCTTCCCTACTTATCATCTCTTTGCAGCTTGATTCAGCCTTGACTTCTACAAGTAGGAGAAAGCTTGGAGAAGCCTAGGACACACGTGGGTCTTTTTCCTCTTGGTTAGATTTTCGAGAGTAATATTTAGGTTATTTTCTTAAATCAAAACCCTTAAGGCCAGGCCATCCGCCATTTTCCACATTGCGTCTGTTTCTCTATCTAGATCGAAAGGCACGACAGCTGTGCGTACGACTACCTGGAAATCCGCGACGGCCCCACAGAGGACAGCATCCTGATTGGCCACTTCTGTGGCTATGAGAAGCCGGAGGATGTGAAATCGAGCTCCAACAGAATGTGGATGAAGTTTGTGTCCGATGGCTCTATCAATAAAGCGGGCTTTGCAGCCAATTTTTTCAAGGGTATGAATTAGCTGTTTGTTTCCATTTTTAGTCACAGGAAGAGATATTGCCCTCCTGGCTTAAGAATCACAAAGCCCATCTGGAAGCTTAGCACCAAACAAGGCTCCCTGCAGGGAGGGGGCAGCAACCCATTTTAGACCTGTGTGTAGGGCTCCCAACAGAGTTCACAACTGACTCAGGAACAGGCTCAGCCTTGGCTTCTATGTGGCAGAAAGTTCTGCTGCTATACTTAGAAATTTAATAAGTTTACAAGGTCAACTTAGTGAACCTTAGTGAAACTGAGCATTGATAATAATAAATATTTGTGTGGTTGCTATCATTAATTGAGCACCTACTGTGTGCCAGGAACTGTGCAAGGTACTTGATTTACACGATGACATTTAATTTCCAAAATATCCCTTTGGGTTGGGTTTGGATCCAGTCTGATCAGGGTCGCTGCTCAGGGTCGTCCAGGTAGTTCAGTGGCAGATCAAGAATCTAAACTGTCTGACGCCTTAGCTCAAACTTTTCCTGCAACATTGCTTGCATCCCCTGATGTGGGCCAGAGAGGCATCTCAGGTCTTCGGCTCCTGAAGCATCAGCCCCCAGCCTACAAGCTGACCCTCAGGTGGGTGGGGGTGTGGAGGCGAGTGAGGAGTGGTACTTGGTGAGCAAACCTCTGTGCTGCCTTAGGGATCCACTGGTCCGTGGGGTCTTGATGGAACCACACTTAGAAAGGCATGGGAAGACCAGCATTCCTGCCCATAGCAGAGTAGGCTTCCCAGGACTCCTTTCAATGGCGGGTCTTCCTTCTCTGCTCTCAGGGCCCTGGATGCCCCTCAGATGACCACAGCGGAAGAGGGAAGCCAGGATACTCCCCAGTGCATGGTGACTGGGCGCCCAGTAGCACACCAGCAGCCACCGGATGGAGATATCCAATCTGTAGCTGAGGTCCCTTGATTAGTGGCCCTGCTCACACCCCGAGGGAGGCTGCTTTCTCTTCTTCCCTCCTCTCCCAGGTCTCCTGGCTGTGCCCGCTCAGAAATGCTGGTCCCTCCCTTTCTCCCAATCTCCCCATCGCCCCCCTCTTTAGCCTCTTCTCCCAGGTTCTACGTAAGCAGATGGGTGTCAGAAGAACCCACTTCAAGCCATGTGACCCTGAGCAGGCAGCCCTTTGTCCTTCTTGAAGCTTCGGTTTCCCCTCTCAAAACAGGGGAAGGAAATCTGCCCGTAACCAGTGGTGAAGCCCCAATGAAACGGTGGCTGTGGAGATGCTATATAAGCCGACAAGTGCCGCGCAAGTCTGTGGAATTGTCATCTTTTCTGTCTTGAGCACGTGGGGAGAGCAAAACCCAAGCAGAAACAGAACAAGAATCCTAACACTCTGAATAACTGGAGACAAAATTTAATTCTTTCCCAAGCAAAAAAGCCAGGCCACAGCAAGTGTATTTCAAATGCAATCAGCTAGTGGTTGTAGTGGGAAGAAGGACACGACAGTCTTAGTTGAAATGCCTGGAAATTCACAGCCCCCACCCCAGCCTGGTCCAGATTGAATACGCCATGTGTCTCCCAGCCTGGAGAGGCTCCTGTCTGACTTAGTAGCAGCAACACTGGCTTCGTGGCCTTGAGCAAGTTCCACGAGCTGTCTGAGCCCCAATCCCTCCACCTGTAGAAATGGTACTACCAGGTTATTGAAACAGGTTACTACCAGGTTATTGAGAAGGGTACTACCAGGTTATTGGAGAGCTGTTGTCAGGAGAAAATAAGATTGCATAAGCGAACACACATGGTATAAAGTTTAGTCCCATTAATTGTCTTTGCTAATGAAGGAGTCTTTGAGGTGGTTAGTTTTCTCTCTGGAAAAAGTGTCGTGACCATTTCTTCTTGCCTATTGCCGTGTGTCAGTTTCCGATGGCTGCTGTAGCAAATTACCACAAACTTCGTGGCTTAAAACAACATAAACTTATTGTCCTACAGTTGTGGAGGTCAAAGTTCCTTGCCTTTTCCAACTTCTAGAGGAGGCCCCTGCATTCCTTGGCTCATGGTACACTTCCATCTTCAAGCAGCAGTGGCCCACTGAGCCTTTCTCATACCACATCACAGACCTCTGCTTCCGTCGCCGCATCTCCTTTTCTGACCCTGACTTTCCTCCTCCTTCTTTCTATTATAAGGACCCTTGTGATTACATTGGTCCCACCCAGACAATCTAGTCTAATCTCCTGTTTTAAGAACCTTAATTTAATCACATCTGCAAAGTCCTATCTGCCATGTAACATTAACAGATTGACAGGTTCCAGGGGCTAGGATGTGGACTGCTTTGGGAGGCCTTATTTTGCTTTCCATGTCATGAATGATTATGAAGTTTTATTCTAATTCTATTTACTTTAATTCTCCTTCCTTCTCCTCCCCTGACTTCCACCCCTAGGTCAGTAAATTAGGTGTCGGGGCTCCTTTCCAGTGAGATAACTGATAAGAAATTGGCACTGGCCCACCCACACCTAATCCGCAGTTCTGCTGATGATCAACGATGCACATTTTTGAGAGGACCAGTTAAGCTGGAGATTAAGGTTGCCAGATTTAGCAAAAAAAAAAAAAGGCAGGATGCCAGTTAAATTTGAATTTCAGATAAAGAATGATCTTTTAGTGTATGTCCCAAATATTGCATACTGCGCTAGGAAATGATTGGTTGTTCATCTGAAATTCAAATTTAATTGAGCCTCCTGCATTTTTTGTGGCAACTCTACTGATAATGCCAGTCAGCACAGTGGAAAGCGATGTTTCTTTCTGTGATGCTAAACTGGTTTGTGAGGGCCTAAGTCGAGAGCCTTGGCTGGCTCTAAGTAACCATGATAACCAGCTCTGTTTGCTGATTGGAAGATGCCATCTTCTCCCTCCTCCACATTTAGCATCCATTCAGCAGTCATCAAACTATGTCAGGGCTGTGCTAGGAGCTGGGGACACAGAGGAAGACACAGTCGTTGTCCTCAAGAGCTCAAGCTGGTGACAGAGACCTGCAAGCAAACACGGGTGATGACATTGCCGTGGAGTATGGACCTGGGAGCATGGACCTGGGAGCAGGGGCTCACTCGGCATGAGGGTGAGGTCAGGTTACCCAGCCTCCATACTTCAAGGACATTTCAATTTGCAAACATCTTAGATGCCCCTGAAGGTGTTAATTGAGGCTCTTCTACACTAACTTGGGGCACTGGCCCAGCTTGACACCTTTTTTTATGTTAAGGAGGACTGCAGAGAACCACATTTAGAAAAGAAGAAATATACAACATTGACCTTGACCTTGAATCTTATAAGAGGAACCAGGACTGGTGGAAACCTCGTTGGGATCTATTAAAAGGGAAAGAAAAGACATGTATTGAGTGTCCCAGAAACAACATGATTATCTCACCTGTCTTCAGAACAACGTCTTCGTAGGCGTTATTGTTACCCCCATTTTCAAATTGAGGAAACTGAGGTTCTGTGGTGGCAGAGCTGGAACTAGACCCCAGACTTGTAGGATCCCACAGTCCACTCTCTTTCCAGTACGGAGACCTAAGGCCACAGGCAAGTCAAGTGAAGGGATTTGAATTTTTCATTAGTGTTTGTGATTTGATTCTGACACTTGTCACCTTTCTGCCTTCTCAATACTGTGGGAGTGTAGGGAACCGGGCCCTGGATTTAGTGTCTGAAGTTCAGGTTCCAGTGCTGCCTGCATCTCTCACTAGCGATCCACTCTCAGGCGAACCCGTTTTCCTCCTGAGACTGGATCATCCCTGATATTTTCTCCACTGTATCCCTAGTGCCTGGTCCACAGTGGGTTCAGTAAATACTTAGTGAGCAAGGAATGAATGGATGAATGAATGAATGAGGCTCAAATTCCTCATTTGTGGATTGGGCATCCTGCAACCTGCTCTGCCTACATTTTGGGGTTCCTATGAGGATGAATGAGGTGGAAACCACAGTCTGGAGCAACAAGGCCCAACAGAAGTAGGAGGCGAGTCACAAATGTGAGCCACGTATGCAATTTTAAACTTTCTAACAGCCACCTTACCAAAAGAAAGAAAAACAAAAAACCAGGTGAAATTCATTTTAATAATATACTTTATTTAACCCAATATATCAAAAAATACTATCATTTTAATATGTAATCAATACACACAACATTAATGAGATATTTTATGGAATTTTTTCATACTGACTCTTGGAAATCCAGTGTGTTTTACACTCACAGCACAGCTCAATTTAGATTAGTTACATTTCAAGTGTTTGATAGTCACATGAGGCTAATGGCTACCAGATGGGTCAGCACAGGTCTAGAGACTGGGCACAGCCAGCTTCTCTGTCCAGCCTTTTTCCAAGAGGCCATCAGTAGGATGTCCTGTGAACACACAGTACCCAGTGCATGTGTCAGGACTTCTCCAGTGAAAGAAACCAGAAGAATAACTACAAAGGCCACGTGGAAGAGTTGGATCAAGTCAAAGAAGCTCTTGCCTGGGTGCTGGTTGGCAGGAGGCTCTGCCCAGAGCCCAGCTGGCGCACGGCACTGACCAGCGTGCCAGTTGGCCTCTGCATCCCTCTCCTCGTGCCAGATGGCAGTCCCACTCACAGCCCGCTGGCCAAGCAGCAGGCACAGCACCTCACATCCCTGGTTACTGCGGGAGATGGCAGGAGCATTTGAGGGTTGGCAGGGCCATTTTGGTCACACACTCCCCACATACAGAACGTACAGAATATGAAGATTGCTACCTTGATCCCCACATTCCACTGTCCCAGTGCTGATGGCCCACCACAGGGTGTTGCATGAGGGGGACTGGCTTCTTTCAACGTACTTCTTCAAAAGCTTAGGGATGTGCCCTGCCTTCTCTTTCTTTGACACTCTCTGAAGCAGTTTTTGGGATCCTACCTGAATCATCTCATTGTCTAACCACAGAATGGTTTCTTCTTTCACTCCTACCACCTGAAGAAGGCAAAGAAGCCAAAGCTCCCACTATGCAAAGCTGAGCCCTGGCTCAGCTTTTTCTGCCACCCCCACGCTCTCTCAGATTTTCCTGGAAGGCTTGGCCTTGGCCACTGTAGCCCAGAGCAAGCACGAGCCAGTGGGCTTGGAGCAGATGCTACTTCACAGTAACCTGGAAGCGATGTGGAGGACACCCAGGTTCCCACTGAGAGCAGGGCCCCTGGAACACTTCCACGCCATCCACCCAAGCTGGAGCAGGGTTGGAAATGGCCAGACATCCCACTGCTCTTTCTGGAGAGAGCTCAGATGTAAACACATATCTTTCACCCACCTTCTTAGGCCAAACCTCTACCCTTCTAGTGTCTGGAGAAACTACATTCCCTTTGCTTTAGGTCCAAATCCATTCCACCAGTCTCTCTTCCTCCACGTGGCTAAGATGGTGCCAGAATTGTTCGTCAGCGGTCCTCCCTTCCTTGGCTATGACATATGTGTGTCCTGCCACAGCCATAGTATCTTTTGACATCAGAGTCTCCCCTCACCCCCCACCTTGATCCTTTGTTTATCTTGGTCTATTTTGATGGGCTCTTTCCGCACTTCCTTTCTGCCCTCACCCTATGCCCACCAGCTAGTTTCTTGGCTCTGCTGTGCTGCCCTCCTGTCCATCTAGTCTTCCTTTATTGGCCCATCCTTGACGCATTTTCCTTCTTTCTGTTCCTGCCTTGTCTCTCTCCCCTCCTCAGGCCTGCACTACTCTACTCTTATGTGATTCAGGTATGCCCAGGTAACCTGATCATTTTCACTACCCCCATCACTGGGTCTCTCCACCCACTGGAATTTCAAAAGCAACCCTGCTGTTGTCCATAGTGATAGCTCCTGTGTACTGAATGTCTATATGCTGGGTACTTCACAGGCATCGTTTTCAATCACCACAACCCTAAAAGCCAGTACGATTCTCATTTTAAAGCAGCAGGAAGGCTGAGAGAGGTTAAATCACCCAATTCGTTGTGGAGAGATCCACTGGTAGATCCAACCCAGGTCATCTGGTTCACTCTGAAGGAGAGACTCTTTCCATTTCTCCTTATCATCGATTCTCCTCCTTCTATACTTTCTAGCAAATGTCGAAGAAAGTGCTTTGCCTGTTGTAAAGTAATAAATAATTACAGGACTCTTACTATTTTAGCATACTCAAGACTTGCATTTATTTGAGGCTAGGACAACTTCAACCCCCTGCTTAGAGCATGTCTAGTAAACCCAGTCTCTCCTACTGCCCAACATATTTAAGCCTTCTTTGAGCCCAAGAACGCATCGCTCTTAGAGTTACCTAAGTTTCCTATCCACTATGTGAAATGATGGGATATTTACTAACTGTCCTTTACCCAGTGAAAGCGACCAGGTTGATGAGCATTTTGTGTGTCATAGACAAGGGAGATTGGAAGGAAATGGGTTTATCTGGGTTGGAAAAGGGTAGAGTAGAGGGAGGCATTATGGTTGAAGGGTTTGCATTTTCTGCAAGACCAATGAGTTGGAAGTTGCCAGGAGTCAGAGTTTTCACAATTCAAATTTCAAAAGATAAGAAATATCTTTGAAAAGCAGTGAGAGCCCTGTCTCTGGGTGTTTTCAGGCTGGGTCTGAAAAGCTGGCTATCAGAAATGTGATTGAAAGGATCCCTGCCGAGGTGGCAGGCCTGGGAATCTTTTCCTTTCTTTGCCAACTCAAAGATGTCCTGGCTTGCTTATTTTATGTGTAATGTGGTCTTTCAAGATTTTGTGAACAACTCTGTATTCCTCTGTTCCTGCCTTCCATGGTGTTGTGACCCAATACTCCCCACCCCCTCTTCTTCTTCCTGGATTGGGCTTTTGGCATTTTTTTTGGAAGATGTCTCAGTGTTTAGCTGTCCCTTCCCTAAACCCTGCAACTCTGTTAGGCCACAGCTGCATGTTCTCCCTCAGGGGTAGATGTACAACACAGCCGGGTAATAGAAGATAATGATTTTTCCTCTTAGATCTTTTCTTTTTGCAAGGAAGATTGGCTCTGAGCTAACATCTGTTGCCTGATCTAACATCTGTACCAATCTCCCTCTATTTTATGTGGGATGCCACCACAGCGTGGCTTGACAAGTAGTGCTAGGTCCGCGTCCAGGATCTGAACCTGTAAACCCCAGGCCACCAAAGGAGAGCACGTGCGCTTAACCACTATGCCACCAGGCTGGCCCCTCCTTTTATTTCCAATACTCTTCTTGAAGATGCCCAATGCTTGGGTTTGTCTTTTCTTCAGTGGTGCATGGGCTGACATGTCCAAGGAGATTCTCTAATGACTCCCATGTTCTGCCTCTGGACAGCACACCTGGCCTCCTACTTGCTATTATTTAATTGCCCCAAACACATCACTAGATACTTGCTGGTGCTGAATCCCAGTGGACTTCCCTGCTAACTGAGTCTAGCTGTGGCCTCCTCCTGCAGTTCTCCTGGGAGTGCTGACTACCCTAAGAGCCCAGGGTTTTCTGTAGTTTTCCCTGGGCCCACCTCTTTAGATTATTTATAAAATGCTAAGTCACAGGTTCCTATTCCATCCCCAGAGAATATTTAGACATCTTCATCTAGAAATTTGTCCCTTTCTCTTTACCCTTTATTTAATGTCCCCAAAAAGTTTCATATTTGGCACGGGGAGAACCCCAATTCCATGGCATTAAAATTGATTCAGGCTTTGGCATGGAACCTTTGAGATTTTTTGCAAAATCAACAAATGAATACCACTGACTGAACCCTACAAAGAATGAAATTTCCAGACCTGATCGCCTCTCAGAGGAGCCCTTCTTCTGGCTAATGAGCTACTCTTGTGGGTTCTCAAGATGCCACCCTTTACTGTAGCTGCTGTCAGTTTCTCAGACAAGGACATGGGACTCCTTGGAAGGTGGTCACCAGGAGCCATTCTTGTCCTTAGAGGACACTTGCTGGGGACCCTGGGATGTGGAAGGTGATGGAGAGCAGACCAGGCAGCTTTGTGATGATTTAACGGGGGTCACCTTCCTCTTTAACAGAGGTAGATGAGTGTTCCGGGCCAGATCATGGCGGGTGTGAGCAGCGCTGTGTGAACACTCTGGGCAGCTACAAGTGCGTGTGTGATCCTGGCTATGAGCTGGCAGCCGATAAGAAGACATGTGAAGGTGGGTGTCGGACCTGCCAAGCTGGAATGAGAGGGGATGGGGCACAAGTCTTAGGAGAAGTGGGGCAGAGATGGGGCAGCTGGCTGGCTGCGAAGTGACAATGGACAAGTATAGTGGATGATCCACCTACTTTTTGGAGGGAGAAAAACTCGATAAAGTCACCAATGTAATAGGACTGCCCAAATTACACAGACTCCACCCTGGAAATTGTGCAATTGGAGGCATGGTTTATTTTGTGACCTTGAAAAATTCACATAATTATTAAGGTGGAAAATAATAGCAAAGAAAAACTATGAGCACTTGGGTGGGACTCACTCATAGCACATTTCATTCATTCCATTTCTGCTTGGTGGTGTCCTGTTTTCCTTGCCCGCCTGCACGACTCTGCTTGTTAATGTAAGCCAGGTGCATCGCATCACTTGGTGCAAACATTTCTAATTCTCCTTTGTTCCAAGTCATGTGGAGTCCACAACTATGTATGCCACCGGGTGACAGGTCAGCACAAAGGCCTCATCATCATTCTTGAAACAGTAAACACTTGTCCTCAACTTCATCCCTCCAAATCCTTAGTTGAAACAGTGAGACTAGAAGAAAGGATGCTGAATTAATCAGTTCAGATTGTCTAACTTTTTTTTTATTAAAGAACAGCAGGGCTTATTGCTGCTTGGGGGAAATCGCAGTCACTCGGAACTAAAACCAAATGAATCTTGCTTCTGTTCCCCCGTGCAGTGGCCTGTGGCGGTTTCATCACCAAGCTGAATGGAACCATCACCAGTCCTGGGTGGCCGAAGGAGTACCCCACAAACAAAAACTGCGTCTGGCAGGTGGTGGCCCCCACCCAGTACCGGATCTCCCTTCAGTTCGAAGTGTTTGAACTAGAGGGCAATGACGTACGTTTCTGCACACCAACTGATCAGGGCTGGTGTTGGGATGTGGCTCAGGGCTGGAACCCGGGGAGGGGCTGGCAGGCAGGGAGGCGGCTTCCCAGAGTCATGGAGTCTTGGCTCGGTGGGTCCGAGGAGCCTTTGGTGTAGCAGTTGCAGCAGTACGTCCTCTGCAGATAGAGTGCTGTGGTCCTTCACTGATAAATCCAAGGAGAATCAAGACGAGTGCAGGAGGCGGGTCTTGGGGGTGGGAGGTGGTCAGCACAGGTGGGTCCCCTGGGGTAAGAATCAGGGGAGTTTGTGTCCAGCTGAGTGGAACAGAGGGGGTGAGGTGTAGCTGGGGACCAGGATGGTTTACACAGCCTGTTCCCTCCCTTGGGCAGTGGCCATGGGATGACTAGCACCGTGGCAGCCAGAGTGCTAGTTAGGTGCGCCCCACGTCTGCACCCTGGGCTGGAGGGATCCCACGAAGAGTCGAGAGGACCCTCTCAGTGGACCTGGCTGAGTCTGTCTGGCCACCAGGCATGGCGCAGCTCTCAGGAAGGGGGTCCTGCGGCGGCCGGGGCTCTGGGGTGAGCACATGGCGGGCACCGGGCAGCTGCCCACGGCGCTCGCTTGCAGGTCTGTAAATACGACTTCGTCGAGGTGCGCAGTGGCCTGTCCCCCGACGCCAGGCTGCACGGCAAGTTCTGCGGCTCCGAGACACCCGAGGTCATCACCTCGCAGAGCAACAACATGCGCGTGGAGTTCAAGTCGGACAACACCGTTTCCAAACGCGGCTTCAGGGCCCACTTCTTCTCAGGTGTGCGGGTTTGGAGGGGGCGACCCAGCTCTGCGGGCTCCCGGCCTCTGGGGACCTGCCCACCCCCGACCCTGCCCTCACAGCACCCCGCCTTGGAGGCGGCTTGCAGATCCGGGCTCTGTGATATTGGCAGATAGATATGTATGTACGGCCACCGCAACAAATGACCACAAACCGGGGGGCTTGAAGCAAGTGAGATGTATTCTCACTGTTCCCGAGGCCCCAGGCTGAGATCCGGGTGTGGGCGTGGCCGTGCTCTCTCCAAGGCTCCAGGGTCTGGCCTCTTCCAGCATGGGGTTCCAGAGCTGAAGTCTCGCGTGGGCTTCCTCTCTACTCTTTAAGGGTTCTTTAAGGATTCTAAGTTGTCCTCATGAAATCACAGGGTGTAACAAATACAAAGTGTTCGGTGACACTCGACCCCCAGTGGGCAGAGGCTATGGAGAGGGGAGTGAGACCCGCCTGGCCCCTGAAGTTATCTCAGTGGGGGCTGGGACCGAGGCTCGTCCTCACTCACTAGAGGCTGAAGTCGGCTTAGGACAGGGCTGCGCACCGCGCTGGCTCGGCTGCAAGAACCACAATGTCAACAACAGCTAACACTGGAGTTCACACATAGTCTAGAACAAAAGCTAACCGCGGCTCTGGGCTGGATGCTGTTCTAAGAGCTTTCCCCGACTCATTCATTTCCTCCTCCCAACAACCCTCTGCGGGAAGGAAACCACTGTTGACTCCACTTGACGGGTGAGGCCACTGAGGCAGAGGTCAGGGACTGCCCAAGGCCACAGCAGCGGATGTGATGGAGTAGGGCTGGCACGTGGCCGTCTGGCCTCTGGCCCGCACGCTGCCTACTCCACAGGCAGGAGGTGGTGTGGGGGCCTGGAGGATGAGCCCAGGCCTCTGGGTCACACAGGCCACTTGCTCACTGGGTGACCTTGGGCACGTGGGCGTTCTCAGCCTCAGTTTCCTTACCTGTAAAACGGGAGCACGGGCACCTCCCTCCTATGGTTGTGTGAGAATTAACTTAGATAATGTATAGAAGGTGCTTGGGGCAGTGCCCACCGCATAGCAAATACTCACTCCATGGTAGCTGTTTTTATTATTGTTATTTTTAGTATTAGTATTAGCTTAACCTTTAAGGAGCTCCTTGTTTTTGATAAGGAGCAGGGGTGGAGAACATATATATACAATAAAGTGCTTTAGGTGCATGGGGAATTCAATATATGCCAGGACCAAGTAATATCCAACAAATGCTCCCCCACCGCAGCGAGGGGGTAAGCAGAGTCGGGCAACCAGGGCGGCTGCCTGGAGGAGGCTACTTCTGAGCAGGGTTTTGGGCTGTGAGGGACGTCCTCCAGTTGGCAGTTGCCCTGAGAAGAGTCCGTTGATCTCTCCAGACAAGGACGAGTGCGCCAAGGACAACGGCGGCTGCCAGCACGAGTGCATCAACACGTTCGGGAGCTACCTCTGCCGCTGCCGGAATGGCTACCGGCTCCACGAGAACGGGCACGACTGTAAAGAGGGTGAGGCTGGACCGCGGCCAGGCTGGGCTGACTTGGCCGCCCGGGGGATGTGTGTGACTGAGAGCACCCGCCCTCCCTCCTCCCGCCCTCCTGCTGAAGAGGGATTTTCCCCAGGGCGGCTCCCTCCTTCAGGAGGTGGGCAGGGGCCCTCAGGTGCGCTCCTGGAGTTATTATCCCCCAGGCTCCAGGATCAGACTACCCAGGTGTAAACCTGGCTCTGCTACTTACTAGCTGTGCGACCTTGGGCAAGTTACTTAACCTCTCTGAGCCTCAGTTTCCTCTTCTGTTTAAAAGGGACTAAGCATAGCCCCTTCTAACAGTTTTTGTGAAGGTTAAATGAGAGAATGCCTAGAAAGTCTTTCAGACAGCCTGGCACATATTAAGCACTTGAAATGTCAGTGAATATCAGCCATCTATGTCATAATATTATTTACCGTATGCAGGTCTAGTAGTAAAATGGAATTGGGAAAACCTTGCTCCCTGCTCCATTCACTCCTGGGAGTTCTTCAGGGCCAGAGGGCTTTGAATGTTCAGCCCTTCTGGAAGAAGCCTCCCTCTGCTCTTACGCAGCCCTGCCCAGGGACTTTGAGCATCTTTGATACACACACAGGCCTGCAGGCCTTGGCCCAGCCATGGAGCCCTGCAGGGGACATCAGGGCGAGGGAGGGTGTGAAGACCTGACTCCCGCCGTGGGATAAACGTTGTAGAGTTAGGAGATTTGGCTGGGGTGCACAGAGTGTGGTCAGGGCCTACCTGGAGTGTTCGAGGATGACCTAAGACATCTTCGGAAGGTGCAGCCCAACCCTGTGACAAGGACATGGGTGGTCACAGGTTGGGTTGAGAGGTGAGCTGGAAGAATGTAGAAGGAACTGTCATTCTGGAACTTAACAAATCTTCGTCCCACCCCTGTGAGGTGGGCCTGGGCCAGAACAAGGCTTGCCTCCTGTGGCATGGGGGAGGCCAGGAGGGGCTTAAACTCCCACTAAGGTCCCAGCAGCTGAACAGAGGCTGCCTTCGCATGAGTTCCCCCAGGGTGGGGCAGAGGGAGCTGAACCCCCGTCCCATCCTGGTTGGCACCTGTTCTCTGTGTGCCAGAGAGCAGAGGCACGATGAGCAGGCCCCTCCTTGCAACGGCTGTCCTCCACCCTCTGACCCGCCCTCAACCGCCCCTCCAGCTGCCTCCAACGGAAGCCTCAGGGCGGCCCTGGAGATGGCGGTGGCACAGGGCCCACCTCCTCAGCTCTCTCGCTTTCCTAATCAGTAACAGCAAAGGCAGGGCTCCGGTCCCAGCTCCACCCCTCACCAGCAGTCACTTACCCTCTCTAAGCTTATTTTCTCATTTGGAAAGCGGAAGGGATTAAATGAGAGGATGCATTCAAAATGCTACCACAGTGCTCAACACAGAGGAGGACAAGCTCTAGCTATTGGCCAAAACGCTACGCACTGAGCAAGTCATGGGGCTGCTCTGCTAGTGGCACTGTAACCAGAACAACATCTGTAGCCACCACGTGAAACTGCTTTGCAAACCTAAAAGACGGAAGGCGTAGTGGTCTTTGTGAGCCCTTGCTAAGCCTTTCACATGCGTGATCTCATTTAACCCACATGTCCCTCCTACAAGGTTGGCGCCCCTTTTACAAATAAGGGGACCGAAACTTATCTAAGTACCCAAAGTCGCACAGCTGGTAAGTGGCGGAACGAGGACTTGAACCGAAGTCCATCTGACCCCTAGGCCCGGGGTCTTTACCACTCACTCTCCCACATTTCCAGTGGTAACCAGGACGTGAGCGGTAATAACGAGAAAGATGGCCTGGCTCCTGAGCTACCACCAGGAAGGCAGCAAAACCAAACAAATCAGCCACTCTCTAAGCCAGGGGACCCTTGATTCAGGCTGACCCCTGCCCCCACATTTGCTAATGACCATGTGGCAATAAGAGCGAGGGGAGGAGGCTCTCTTAGGATGCCTCCGGTGCTCCCCAAGAGTGAATTATTCTCTCTCTGCCCGCGTTCCCCCTCGCCCCCAGCTGGCTGTGCGCACAAGATCAGCAGTGCAGAGGGGACCCTGGCGAGCCCCAACTGGCCTGACAAATACCCCAGCCGGAGGGAGTGTACCTGGACCATCTCTTCAACCGCGGGCCACCGGGTGAAACTCGTGAGTCATTTTCGTAGTTTGTGGTCTTCAGTATCAAACAGACATGGGTTCAAGTCTCTGCTCAGCCACCTCCCGGCTCAGAAACCGGGGGAAGTTACTCAACATTTCCCAGATTCAGTTTTGTTATCTGGGAAACGGGGATGATGGGAGACCGAGCTCACGGGGCTGTGGTGCAGCTTAAAAGAGAGGACACACGTAAAGCCCTCAGCCCCGCTGGCGGTGAGGAAAGTCCTATAAATAGCTGTTCACAGTGGTGCCAGTGTGACGGCACCCACCGCACAGTTCTGTAGTGCTGTTTGAGATTCAGTTGTCTCCAGTTTTAATGTTTCACAAGACAATACATTCTCAAGGTAAAAAGGTAATCAGTTCAGAGGGTTGGAAAGCAGAAATCAAAAGTTTCCAGGACCCCCAGGCCCACTTTAGAAATGACCTCTCTGAACATTTTCTTGTGACTCCTTCCAGAAATTTCTTGTGCATGTCCAATCACATATGTACACACATGGGAAAAAATATATATTCTTTTTCTTGTTCAAACTTTTCAAGTGGATTCATTCATATTCTTCTGCAACTTACATTCTTTTCAATTAGCAATAGGAGATTAAGTTATTTACGCTAATTCTCTCGAATTAAAAATTAATATATCTCCCAAGCCTTTCTTTAAAGTCCCATCCAGGCGTATGATTGTGATCTCCACACCATACCCCGTTATTTCAAAGGAGGAATGAGTCTTTGTACGAGTCTCACTTCTGAGCTCCCAGGGACTCCCTGATTCTGGAGTGTTAATCAAGCCCTCTTGCCAGTTGGAGAAGTTGTACTCCACAGACACACAGACAGACAGTTTTTAAATGGGTCGTTCTGACTCTGGAGATGAGTAAGCTCTTCAGAGGGCATATGGATGTTGCCCTGAATTATGGACCAATAATGCGGGGAGAATGGAAGAGAATAAAGGAGAAAGTGATGATAAATAGACCATCACTGGGGTCCTGCGGGGGTGTTTGTGGGCCAGCGCGGTGAGGACAGGTGGGAGAACGGGCTCGCAGGCTGGGGCGCGGGTGCTGGGGCCTCTGTGCCAGGCCCGGGGCATCGAGGGCGGAGAAGGCAGGGCCCCTGACCATCACAGCAGGCACCTCCCGTGCCTGGCTGCTCGCCTGGGAAATGCTGGCGGCGGCTGCTCTCCTGGGTCAGTCAAAACAGCCTTGACCCTGGGAGAGGGGGACTTAAGCAGCGTGCCTTAGAGAAAGCACTCCTTCCCCAAGACTGCCACCTGCCAGAAAATGTTCGCGATGGCAGCGTGTGTCTCTGCCGACGGCGGGGCCATGGCGCCCCCTGGCGTTGGAAACGCGCAACCTGCGCAGCTGGAAGCGGCGCTCCTGGGGAAGGGCCGCAAGATTTTAGTCCGCCCTCGGTTCTTGACAAGACTCAAGAACCAGAGCAACGATCACAGGTCTGCACAGTTAGTCCAGACCTCAGTTATCGGAGGTTCATACATATATGCACTAGGTTTTTTAAAAAACTTTCTTGGGAAGTGGATGGTGGATATCTTGATTGTGCTTTTTGCTGCTGTAGAACGCGGGTGGAAGCTGGTGTTTCACTGCATGGGGACAGCCACAGGGTGTCCCGTGGACTTTTGGGGAGCTCCCCGCCTCCCTGGCCCACCAGTGCTGGTGCTGATGCACTCTCCTTCTTGCTCTTGCCCACTGTCCCCACCCTCAGTCTCTGGCCCCACAGCCGTCTTTCTATTAGGTGTGAAGAGCTTTGCCCATTTCAAGTGTGTTCGTCATTCCTGCAAAAGCCCCACTGCTAATGGACCCTCCGATCTCCCCTCTCTCCCTCCATCCCTGCCCTGCACCCCAGCCCCTTCATGTGAATTGAGCCCCCACACTAATGTCCTCGCTCCCCACTCTGTCATTTGGTCCAAGTCTTCATTTCATGAACACTATCCCCTCTCACCTCATCACATCTCCCTCCCAGCCATGGACAGGCCATTGGCCAGTCATCTGTCCAGGGCCTGAGAAACCCTACATTTGGGGCTGCAAAGCTGGGGTCATGGCCTGGAATTGTGGGGCTCTCCTGGCCAGCTTCAGGGGACAGTCTTTAGGGAGAACAGTGGGGAGGGAGCCATGGTCAGAAGCATGGGCTGGAGTCAGGCCACCTGGGGGTCAAGCCCAGCTCCCTCTTCCACTAGCTGTGTGAGCTTGAGCAAGCCACTTAACTTCTTAAGACTCAGTTTCCCCTTCTGCACATTGGGGATAATAATAGCTTTTCCCTCAGTGTCATCAGAATCAAGTGAGAAAATGCCCATAACCACTTGGCACAGAGCTCTGCATGGAAAAAACATTGAGCGAATGTCAGCCACTATGAGGATGACCGTGCGGTGCAGCGTACACTTAGGGTCACTCACAGCATTTGCGCTGCAGGACCCTGCAGTACAGCACAGAGGGTAAGGGCAGGGACTCTGCAGCCAGACCTCCTGGTTATTGGGTGACCTTGGGCAAGTCATCCGACAGCCCTGTGCCTCAGTTTCTGTGAAGAGGGCATTATAATGGCAGACACATCACAGGGTTGTGAAGATTAAATGAAGTGATCTTTGTAAAAGGCTTAAAACAGCTCCTGGCCCAAAGTGAGCACCCAGTCATTGCTGTTCTTATCACTGAGGGAGAAGCTGCATGCTATGGTGGAAGGACACAGACCTCAGCAAGCATTTAAACTCTGAAACCCGGCCGTCTCATCTGCAAAGCGGTCGTGGTGGCCATAGCTCATGTAACTACCTCATAGGGTTGTTTGGGGACCGAAAGAGGGGCCAAGTTGAGACCCTCTCTGCAGATGTCCCCATCGTCACCATGGGCCCCACGTTCCCTGCACAGCTGGCAGGGCAGACGCGTGTCCTGCCACACGGGTCCTCTCCCGCCCCTGGAGAAGTGCACCTCCTGGCTGCAGCGACTCTTGCCTCACTTTCTGCTCTCCCGTCCCCAGATGTTTAATGAATTTGAGATGGAGCAGCACCAGGAATGTGCCTACGACCACCTGGAACTGTACGACGGGCCCGACAGCCTGGCCCCCATCCTTGGCCGTTTCTGCGGCAGCAAGAAGCCGGACCCCACGGTGGCCTCGGGCAGCAGCCTGTTTGTCAGGTTTCATTCAGATGCTTCAGTGCAGAGGAAAGGCTTCCAGGCCGTGCACAGCACAGGTACGCGGCGGCCGCCGGCCTCCAGCTCATTCCCACGCCAACGTGGGATGGATAGGTGATGCGGGCAGGGACAGACCAGCCTCTTATTCTGACTATGGGGGAAGGGTGGGCGTGATGACATGTCCCTTTCATCGTGAAACGTGGACAACCATAGCTCGAAGGGGTGTTTTCTTTCAATGTCCTTAACTGACAACATTTAAAGTGGGTAACCCTTCGTTGGTGCCACCTTTCTTTCCTCCCTTCCTTCCTCCCATCCCTCCTTTAAAAACGTGTTTGTAGTTTTGCTGGTCTGTGAAATCCAGAGTCTGGGAGCTGAGTGGGGCAGAGCAGCCCTGGTTACCCTCCATGGACCAGTTCCAGAAAATAGAACATGTTTCTGTTCCCCATTATTCTTTCCTCCACTGAAAATGTAAATAGCTTTATTCAGTCCTTTGGAGGAAAATATATATGCTGATAACTTACATATCTACTTTGTTAAATAGAAGAATGTCAGTAAGAAAAGGGCTCTGCTCTTTAGCCATTAAAATGTTGCCTCCTGGGACTAGAACCCATGGACTTGACTTTGACTCTCATCTTGGCGTTAGACTGTGGCCCTTTGGGGAAGTGGTGGCTGCCCACGGCCCCCTCAGAATCGGAGATCATGATCACAGGACTCTGTGAAGTTTTCTGATCTGTTTAACAGCCCCTCCCCCAGTTTTTCTTCAGAGCCAGAAAACATGAATCTGGTAAAACAGAATAACAACTAGTGCCCTGAGGTGGTCTGCCTTGCCCTCGCCTAGCAGGAAACACTTCATTGTCTACAGAACCTTCTTAAGCTCCTTGAAAGGTTCTAGCTTCCCCTAGGGGAGTTTAGAAGCCGTTGTCTGGTGACTTCACCCTCTTGTCCCTATAGATAGAGCATAGGGGCTTGAGGTGGGGTCAGGGTCCCAGCAGGAAATGGGGGCACACTCAGATAGAGTCATTATTTGAGGGGAATTTAATAAGGGACTATTATTAGGAGTGGGCAGGGTGTGGGGACACCACAGGCGACAGTGCAGCAACCAGGGCTGGGAACTGCAAGGCTGTTACTAGCCCCAGGCCCAGATGCCAAAGGAGGGAGCGGTTCCTGGAGCCTGGAGACAGACCTGGACAGGAGCTGTGAGCTTCAGTCAAACAGCCTGTGGCAACCAGGCAGGCAGAGTCTGGGACTCAGTCCCCTGACCTCTGTCTCCTCCCTCCTCTGATCTGCTGGTGCTCCCCGTGGCTAAACCCAACCTGAAGGCAGAGGGCAAGGGGGCCCATCCATGTCGACCTAGAGGCCGGCCTCCTGGGGCCTCCTGGGGCCTGGAGCAGGTGGGGAAGAATGAAGAGGGGATCTGGCAATATGGTCTTCCTGCCCTGGTCTATGCCCATTTCATTGCCACTCGCATCTCAGGAATTTGAAATTTCTCAAAGACGGCCCGGACCTGGAAGGAATTCCAAGCCAGAGCACACACGGAGCTAAGAGTTGGCAGCGGGACAGGACTGGGGCCATCTGGCCCTTGGAGAATTACCGGACAGTGCAGGAGCCACCTCACGGTGGTGGTTGGGGGGGGGAGCTGTCTGGGTCCCTCGGGGGCATGGAGCACATTGACGCCGAGGACGAGCAGTGGAGGAAATTTGCCTCCAAAATTTCTGGTGCTTTCTAATCTCTGGTCATTCTCATTTATCCATTTATGTTATGTGGTCTCTAGTAACCTAGACACAAGATAGTGTGGGACCCAGGCCAACAAGAGTTACTGTCCTAGTAAAAAACCCAGAAGCCGAGGCTACAGAATACAAGCCCACAGTCCCAGCGCAGCTCACCTGTGACACCCACAGGGGCCTCAGAGCTGGGCTGTGGTCAGCACTCTCTAAGGAGCAGCCAGCCTGTCCTGAGCTTTCTAGGTTTGCACTCACCCCCAGTTCTGATGTGCCTTTGCTGCCCTCTGTTGGCAGAAACTACAAATTACAGTAAGTCCGTCTGGCTGGTTTGAGCCCTTCTCAGAGGCTTCCAGCACTTGCAGGGAATTAAGTGGTAAAGATCCAAGCAGCCAGCTTTTTTCAGTAGATGCTCAGGAATTCCCAGAGGCCTTATGTGGCCCAACCCGGGAGCATAGGGCCTTGGCGTGTAAGGCCAATTTGGATGCCCCTGTGAGCCATGAAACTCATGGGCTTCTGTTTGCTCCTCTGTAAAATGGGATTGTGAGACTTGCGTGCTCTCCCACAGGGCACGAGGCGGCTTTGCAGAGAAAGTGGGCCTGTCTGGAGGGTGTGGGGAGAGAAGTCCCAGGTTGGGTAGTGGGTGTGGGTGGCGCATGGGTTCTCGGTGCCCAGGGAGCCTCACGGGTCTCTCTCCGTCCAGAGTGTGGGGGCAGGCTGAAGGCTGAAGTGCAGACCAAGGAGCTCTATTCCCATGCCCAGTTTGGGGACAACAACTACCCGAGCCAGGCCCAGTGTGACTGGGTGATCGTGGCAGAGGACGGCTATGGCGTGGAGTTGGTATTCCGGACCTTTGAAGTGGAGGAGGAAGCCGACTGTGGCTACGACTACATGGAGGCCTATGACGGCTATGACAGCACGGCACCCAGGCTTGGCCGCTTCTGTGGCTCAGGGGTGAGTCCCGGGGATGCCGGGCCAGGGACAATGTGTGACGAGTCAGAGCATGGGACGCACGAGTTTGAGTCCTAGCTACCCCTGCCGCTTAATAGCACCAGCCAGGAGGCCCGTTCTGCTGGAGCAAAGCGGGAAATAGTCAGAGAGAAGGTTGGGACGCATGGGGGCCCAGTTCATGAAGGCCTCTCCTGAGAAGCTGTGTAAGAGCATTTTCCTTTTGGGACCTTCCTCTTATTTTTGCAAAGTTTCCCTTCCTGCATTTTTTATTTGGCCTTCAGGCTCTTTTAATTTTTTAATTATACTTTTGTATATTCCGTATATTCACAATTCTCTCCCCAAGCAAAACCAAATGCCTATGAAACTTACAAGTCACTGTCTTACTATAAACACAATAGTTATGCTCAAGGTCATCATCGTTTTCTCATTATCACCTCTTTCCTGGGCCACCTGCCCAGGACAGGGCAGGCCGGTTTTGTTCACTATTTTCCCAGTGCCTGACACAGGGCCTGGCATATATTTGATGTTCAGTGAAGTGTGTGGACCAGCCAGTACATGTCCTGGTCTCTCTCTGGCTGCACCTCACTGGACCCCCAGCCTCCGCCTTTTCTCCACCTCTGGGGCAGATCACTCAGGTTTCTTTGCAATTGGCTGGACTTACATCAAGTCATTTTGGAGTCACTAGTGCTTCTTGTGCTAAACAGAACCTCAAACTGGCATTTATATGAGTCTTTGAATAATTTCCCTTCATCTTCCTTCCTCCTCCCAAAAAGAAACAATGACAAAGTATGACGTAACCAAGGCAGAGCAGTTGATGGATAGAGTCTTTCAAACTGGGGGGTCCATGTGCAGAGGAAAACCTTGGGGGTCCTGAGCAGTGACATGCGTGGGAAGCCCAGTTTGGTTCCACTGGAATCTGGCAGACAGCATCCCCAGAACCTGGCTCCCGTTCATCGACCACCAGGCAAAACCTTTTTGACACATGTAGTGACTCCATCCCATATTTTGTCCTTGGACAGGACATAGGCCTAAACAATGGTCTTTGTTTTACGTCTCCTGGGACACACATCACAATGGTGACCCTAGAGCTGAGTGACTCACGGTACACACTCTATTGTCAGAAGGACCTGAGCTTGGGTCCTGTCCAGCTGTGTGAACTTGAGTCTCAGTTTCCTCAAGCATGAAATGGAGATACCACCTGTCTTATAAAGTTGTTGTAAAATTTACATGAGATAAGATCTGATAGCTCAAAGAGCAGCGCACTTAATAAATCTATGCACTTAATAAATAATAGATTGATATGAGCCGTGCATCTAGGATCGTCTTTGGAAAAGCAGTACGTGGGGAGCTCTCTGGAGCAGAATTTGCAATGCTTTCCTTTGAACAATTGCTTGTTTTGATGCCCTTCAGAGTCTCTGGTTCCAGGGCCACCCCATGGCAGCATCAGCCTTCCTGGGTCTTTGTGTAAGGTTCTGTCCCATCCTCCTTCTTTTAAACTCCAACCAAGCCAACTGACTCAAGGTCCCCATGGTTTTCCTGTCTCTTTTCTGCAGCCATTGGAAGAAATCTACTCTGCAGGGGATTCTCTGATGATTCGATTTCACACGGACGACACCATCAACAAGAAAGGCTTTCACGCCCAGTACACCAGCACCAAGTTCCAGGATGCCCTGCACATGAAGAAATAACGTCAGTATTCTTCACAGACAGGAACTGAGAATGTCTTTATAACAATGGCACCTTGTCAATCTACCCTAAAACAGTGTACCGTATTTTTCTCAAACAAAAACTCAAAATCTAGTCTTGGAGACATGTATCTGATGAAGTTTGGCCAACAAGGAGGAGAGAAGATATTCCTTTCGTTCTGGCTGCAACGTTATCAATTGTGGACTTTTAGAGAAGGTTGTTTGAAGTCATTGACCATTCATTATGTCTCTTTGTACCCATTGCTTGTCCCTGGCTCCTATGGGGCAAAAGACTGGTTATTGGGTTGGTCATTCTTCTATTTCTGGATGTGCTTCCAAGGTGCCAGCAATGTGACCGTGTCCTGGAGACTCAGGCTGTCTTCTGTGTACACTGGGCAATGAGGATAAAAGCTCGGCCATGGCTGATTTGTTACTCACAGCTTTGGCTGGAGACTTTTCCTTTCTCTCTGCCAGGGACATGTCAACCAGGAAACCTGAGAATATGGATGTCAGGACTAAAAAAGGCATCCCCGTAAGCAGTGCACAGAGGGAGAATCATTGTCACCAAGCTAGGAGACCTTTTCCTGCGTCCTCGGGTCTCCTTGCCTCCTTTGGCTTTCCCGTGCCCCCGGTTGCATTAGGGGCCAGGGCATCCACTATGAATTCCAGCAGAACATTTGCTGCTGAGAGTCCCCCGTTTGCCAAGAAGAGTAAATCCTGGCTCCTCCCCATACTCCTTCACTCACTGACTTTGGGAAGACTCCACTTGTGCTCGGGATTCCGCGGGCTCAGGAGAACGTTTCTTCCTCCGGCCTTGGAGGCACTGGCTGTGGTTAACCTCGCCTCCTCGACAACCGGGTCAAACTGCATTTGCAAGACGTGCAAAGACATCTTACGAGGGAGGAGTTCAGGTCCCTTGTGGGGTGAACACTGTTGAAAATGAGTTAATTATAAATTATGTAAGAATGAACACCTTGTGGAACAAGTCAACCTGGGACTAACTTCCTGTAACCAACCAGGTTAAAGAGTTCATTGGTAACTGTGTTCAGACTAACTCATATTCAATCACCAACCTGTGATCGGAAGTCACCGCCCTCGGCGCTTGTTCCAGAGAAGTGTAGAGGATGTTGTTTACATAGTTTTAGAACCTCCAGGTACACTTTAAACAGTGAGGTAGTTTGAATGGCATTTCATTAAGGCATCTATGGGCATTATGAGCTAAAAGCTGTGGTATGTTAGCTTTAAAAGAGTATTTATGTTGGAATAATTTTTAAATAATGTTTACATAACCCTACGTCCTGTTTGGTTAGTATCGACCCCAGGACAGTGCACGAGGGTTTTCAGTGAGAGCTGAGATAGCTCCCAAGTGCTAGGATTCCTTTGGGATGAATCCACATCCTTTTAAACAAAGTATTTGCAAAAGGTTAAAGGTTATATTTTTTGAAGATCTGAATATGCCCCAGAGGACTATGTCTAATTAAAATAATTGCTGGGAGTAAAAAAAAAAAAAGAATACAAAGAAAGGTAGGAGAAATGCACGGGAATATTTTTCCCTTAAAACAACAAAAAACCACAAAGTATTATTATTAATAATAATATATGTCTGTATATGTGTATGTATGTAAAGGATCAGCTGTCAGAGCCTTAGCAATGCAATGTGAGAAATGCCGACGCACCGACCCCAGCGTTACCGAGCAGACCCTCCTGGAGCGGCCCTGCATCTTCTGCTTCGCTCTCACCGGCTCTCCCTGGGCCTCTCCTGGCCCTGGATGGAGGCTCAGCCCACATTCTCATGTCATGACCCCACCCTGGGAGAACTTGGATTCTGCAAACGGAGCTGCTCGTCTTGTGCTTCAGGACTTCCCTGCCTGTTAGGGCAGATTCTATTTCTCTGATTTGTATATTTTCTGGGCTTTTATTTTGTCTCATCTTATCTGTCAAAGTTGAAACTGAAATCAGGATCCATCAGGTGGCTGTTAAGGGTGTGTCTCCAAGGACATGAAAATTCTGTAGTTTCAACCTTTAGAAGTCTAAATAAGACTGCAAATGCCCTGGAAAAGTGAGAGGGAGTCAGAAACAGAGTCAGCTCTGCCTCCGTATTGGCTGTCCTCGTGAAACAATGGTACTTATTTTTATCTCTTCAGTATGAATATTTTCAAAAACACACAACTTCAACAATTATCAACTTATGGCCAATTGGAAACAATGGGGCTCTTGTGAAGACGTTCCTTTAGGCCTCCTGCGAGTGATGTATTCCCAGAAAAGACAAGCTCTGATTCAGCTGGGGCTGGCCAGGCCGGTCCCCTGGAAGCTCCAACTCCCGGGGAATTCGCACCATGCAGGTTCTGCAAAGAACCACACAGCTGGCTTCACGAGAGAAAGTCCATGCGGTAGAAAGACCCAGGCCCCCTGCCGTGGTTTTTCCAAATGCTCAGTGACCTTCCTGAACACATCGCCAGAAGCGGATGAAGGAGCCAGGCGATGATTTTGCTCCAGCCTTCTTTGACCTTTAATTGGGTGCTGGCCCTTGGGGATGTCACAAAGCTCCCAGACTAACTTGAGTTTAGAGAATTATCTTGACAACCTGATGAAATATTTGGGGTCTGGGTCTTCAGCCTGGTACACTTCTAGTGCAATCTGGTCTCTCAGAAGCTAGAACCTGGATCCTAGGGCAGAGGAAGGGCCTGGAATTAACTTCAGCTTGTGGAATTTCTGAAAACAGAGAAAATGAGGCTGCGCGTTGATTCAGTGTAAGACTATTTTCCTCTAAAGTTAAGTTTCACATTACTTGTGAAATGCTCAGCCTGCTTAAATCATTTGTAAAATCTTGTTAACTAGCAGATTCATACTGGTATTTGCCATTGATCTGGTCCTTGATAAGCCTCAAATAATTCGTGGTATTACATTGTTCAGTTTGTGAAAAATGTTCCCTTGGCTCCATCAGATGTTTTTAAAGTTTCCTTTGTAGACTGAACTGAAAAATAATCCCAAACGCCTAAAAGGTTTCTTTTAAAAAAAGAAAAATTGTTTAGAGTGTTATCTATAAATATATTGTATTTTTTATTTTATGTAATTTTACATTTCATGAAATGTTATCAGTTTCAAAGAAAAAGTGGAGAGGAGCTAACATATGTCCCTGTCTAGAAAGATCTGTTTCATTAAAGAATGTGAATTTCTTGACGTGCTCTGGGTTCATGTTACTAATTCAAGACAGGATTGGTCCTCTTGGTGATAATTTTCTCCAATACCACAAGAACTTGGGGAGGATATAAAAAAGGAGATCTTCTCTATGGCCGTCTACTCTCTGGTAAGTAGCCAGCGCCTGACTCCAGAATAGAGGTCGCTACTGGACCCTGAAAGTCATGAGCAAAGCTAAAGATGGCTTCAAAGTTGCCCCCTTTCTTGGACCCAAACAGGCTGGAAATCTGACAACATAGTTGTTGTGGACATGGTTGCTGTCACCAACAGTGCTAGATGTGGTAGACATCTTCGGTTTGTCCCTCAGCAACTGTCTCTGCTCGTCTCCACCTGGTTTTGTGCCTGAGAACCACATCTGACATCTAAAACTAAGGTCACAGCTCCTAAAAGGTGGCTCCTCTCTCTGGGCTCTGGCAGCCCCTCCTTCCACTTGCCCCTTCAGGCCTTGGGTATAATGACACCCTGCTGGTCTAACCCTGGGGTACTGCATTATCCCCCAAGGAGAATCTTGATAAATAGTCCTCTTAATAAGCCCTCTTCGAATATAACAAATTGAGTGTATCACTCATTTCCTGTGGAGACCCTGACTGATACAGGGTCATTTCTAACACAAGGACAGAGACTCCGTCCAATCAAGGACAGTCTTTTCAGGATGACCAGATGAAGAGAATTTTGGGTATGTTTGGAGTTTTGTAGGTCATATCAGGGAAGGGTAATATGGAACCATGTTTTTAAAAACATTTGGTCTTAATGCAAAACTATTTAACACATGCAACTGTTTTGTGATCTATGTAGAGTGTCAAGTTTTTATGACTTTTCTTCCCTTTTGCTGTCACCAGTACCTAAAGGATGGGCCCCAATGGTGCAAGGGTATGAAGGCTTGATGTATCAGTCAGGATAGGGTAGCTTATGCTGCAACAAAAAACAACCCCCAAATGTCAGGGGCTTTACATAAGAAAGGCTTATTTCTTGTTCATATGACATTTTCTTTCTTTCTTTTTTTTTTTTTTTTTTTTTTTTGCTGAGAAAGTTTCGCCCTGAGCTAACATCTGCTGCCAATCTTCCTCTTTTTATTTGTGCATTGAACTTAACCACTAGGCCACCGGAGCTGGCCCTCGTCCAACGTTTTCACTTCTGGTGTCCAGAAGCTCTTCCATATCATGCTCAGTCAGGACTGGGCTGATGCAGCAGCTGCCATCTGGGGCATTGCTGGTTTCTGTGGCAGAGGGAAAGAGTATGACAAATCACACACTGGCTCTGACAACTGCCTAGGAGCGGTACATCACTTCTACTCACATGTCATTGGCCAAAGCAACTCACATGGCTACTCTTAACTTCAGGCTAAGAACTAGAAATATCAGGCGGATCCCACTAGTGACTCTCATATGTGACATTTACAGATAGGGAAATGACCAGAATCCTTCTTTTTGTTTCAACATTTCATGCCTACTTCCTTACTGACATTTTAGAGGAAGAGTTTTAAAAATCCAAATAAGGCCACCTATCATTTAGACTGGACCAGCCTTTTAAACTGACCAGGTGTTGTCTGGCAAATCATTGTGATCAGGCTTGTACAAATGTAAATAGTGGCACAATACAAATGATCAGAGAATCTCAGAGTTGGCAGCCCTAACTTCTCACTCATAAAGGGCATTCACTCCATAGTTTCTAATGAGGTAATTCTCAGGCCTAATACTGCCAGAGGAGGAGAGCCCACTCACATCACCCATGCCTTCTTCTTTGGGTGATGGTTTCAAGTTCCTTTTGCAGGACCAACTCTACTTGCATTGGAGGGACCTGCATTGGGCAAACTGTCAGCCGGTTGGCAGGTCCTCTTTGGGTACATGACCCCAGCCAGACTGATCAGATCTTCTTGCTGGAACTGGAATCTTGATCAAGGAAAAAAACGGCTGAAATATCTTAGAGCTCATCTTCCATCTTCCCAGAGCCTGGTTCCCTGGCCCTCTCTACTTTCTGTGAGCTCCACTACACCCAACCAATAAGTTTCCTTTCTTCTTAAATTAATCAGAGTCCGTTTTGATTCTTGTGAGCAGAGAACTATTGCTGACCCAGACACTTAGGCCAGAGCACCACGTGACTGGAGGTCGCGGCAATTCTACAGGAATAACGTCTCCTTTGGAGGGAAAGTTGGTGATCAGTAGATGCACAGCAAAGAAAAAGAGTCAAAAAGGACCTCGCTTGCCTTGCCCCGTCCACAGCCAGCCTATCCAGGGGGCTGGGGCCGTGAACTGGAGTTCCTTGGTCTAGCTCTGTGGTCCAGGTGTGATTCTATGCCCACCAACAAAGTTAGAAGCATAATTGGTACCAGTTGTACTGATTTAAGTGATCCAGTCATTGTAAACTGTATCATCCCTGCTTTATAGCTTGAGACTGAGGTTGGCAGAAGTTACTTTGCTTGCCTAAGACCACACGGCTTCCAGATGGGCAGCGAAGGCTTTAAGCACAGGCCTCTCTGAACTGTGTTGTCCCCATGACATCCAGGGGCCAGTAGGTTCCATTTAGCAGCACCATGGAGTCTTGGGAACTGGAAGACCCATGAGGCAGAGACCACACTGGTGTTGTTCAGGACAGTATCCTGGTGCCTGGATCCCCACACCCCAAATCTCTTTTTCAGTATTTCCTGCCTAAACCAATGGGGCCTCTGTTAGTCAAGCCCCAAACCCAGGAGTTGGTTCATTCTGCCGTTTCCCTCACCTTCTCTCCCCTCCACCACCTCACGTTTTCTTCCATCACCAAGTCTCATGGTTCTACCTCACGAACCCTTTCACTGCTCTCCATTTCCACAGCCCCGCCCCTAGCGCAGCCACTGTCAACGCTCACTCGGACTCTGCTAACTAGCCTCTGGGTTAACACTCTTGTCCCCTGTAATCCAGGCTCCACAGAGAAGCCAGGCAATCCTTGTCAACATCAATTAGATCATTTAAATGGGATCCCTCTCCCACTTAACACCCTTGAAAGGCTCCATTGCTCTACGATGGAAATCTCACTGTGCCCCGCCATGCTTGTGTCGTCAGGCCCCTAACTCACTCTGTCTTAAACCTCTTCCCTGTCACCCCCTGGTTTATGTTGCTCCAGGCACACCAGCCTCCTTCCGGTTCCGGTTCCGCAAGCACACCAAGCCTGCTTCAGCCCCAGAGCTTTGTGTTTGCTGTTCCCTCCGCCCAGGACCCTCTTCTCATCTTTCACATGCCGCTTAAATGTCATTTCTCCTGAACAGCTAATGCAACTGCCTCCCAGCCACTCGCTCACTCTTCCCTTACCCGCCGTTTGCCCCTCCATAGCAGCTTTGACTTCTGATTGTTGTCCATCTGCCCTTGCTGGAACATACATTCCCTGAGAGTTTGGGGCCTCATTTATCTTCATTGCCAAGCCCAAAAGAGTGCCCGGAATAGTCCTTGACATATAGAAGGTGTCAAAAACATTTGTTGAATAAATGAATGAATGCACTCTTTCAAATGACCAAATGATTGGTTTTAATATTCTTGTTTTGTTGGTATGAGACTCTAAGTCCTTCACCGTTTCAAAGAAGCAAACTCCTAACAGAGAACTCATGAGAAATATGAAGCTGCCCACATCAACGGCTTCCTCCAGCTCCATGAGGATCTCCACTTAAAATGCGAGAATGGAAAGGAGCTGAGGCCAAACTCACTGCCAGGCAGCTCACTGACTAGGGAGTGTGTTCACTGTGGCAGTGAAGCCCTACCTTGAACACAGAATGGGCTCCAACACCCATCTCCCAGGCATTCTCTGCATTGATGCTGGTAACGTGTTGACTCCATCATTACCGGGACAGTCACAATGCTGATTACTGGCAGCTGGGGATGGAGCAGCTCGTCTCAGACTGTGTAACCTATTGTTTCTAAAGAGCTTCCAGCTGCAGAAGCCTCCAAGCTCTTGGGCCAGCTGTGGATTCTTTGCTGAGATGGAGGTGTAACCGAGGAAGGGGCCTGAGAAGTAAGAAGGACGGAAAATGAAAGCAAAGAGTTTGGATGACCCGGGCCATACACAGTGGCCATGGAGCAGGAGACCATCTTCCCTGAGGGATGAGCCGAGGACTTGGCACTCCCCTGACCATAAATGGCTTGGCCAGGGCCCTCTTGGAGCCACCTCTTGCCCTGTCACCCTTGCTCTCCCAGCTGGATGTTACTACAAATGCGAGACACAAGCCAATAACGCTAGCTAGAAAGGAGCTTGCCGAGGGCAGTGTTTGCAGAAGGTTCTCGGGAGGCTGTCGGAAATGGTGAGTAAGAGCTAGCATTTTTTCTCAGCCTAACCTTCATTTCTCTCTATATAAAACAATCCCCAGGCTTTTAATACTCACTTCTCCTAATTCAAACATAATTGTACCTGTGGTGCAATGAGGTCAAGGGGCTTGGTTTTTAATCATTTTCCTATGTGCAAAATACTAATCATTTAAAAAAAATTCTCATCTAATATTTGCTGATCTTATCTTTTATTTTAATATTATTTGCTTTTAAAACCCCACATATAACAAGGGTGAAAAATAGTTGTTTCAGCTAAATTCATTTCCTAGTTGAAGCAATGGGTCGGATCAATGCCTTTCTCCCTATTTGTTCAGTCTGCCTTCTGCTACACGATCATCGACACAGACATCCAAGTTGCATCAGAAACTTTCCACCTTTCTTATTGACTTGTGACATATTTGGTTGTGACTCAATCAAATGAGATTTGCTAAGTTAGACGAGGCTTCTATGATTCCTTTATTAAATAGATTATTAAAAGGAGTTGAATTCAGGCTTTGGAGTTAAGAGGATCTGTGATCTAACCCAGCTTCCACCACCTACCAGCTGGGGACCTTGAGCAGCCTACCTTGGTCTCAGCTCTTTACCCACGATGGGGAGGAGACCACTCTCTTTATGGGGAGGTTATGAGAGCCATGTCTGACACACAGCATGCCCTCAACAACAGTAAGGAATTATTCTGCCTCTCCCTCCCT